AATGTGCAGAGACTGAGAGTAAATGAACTAAAAAGTTGAATTCAAGAAGTAAAGGTGATGAATATTAGTAGATTATGGTAGCGTAGCCTCTTGATTGAATAGTAATGGATAATAAAAAAAAGAGAAAAAAGGGCAAATATACCGACTCAACCAAATGTCTTCTCTGTCTTTGTCTAGATGATGTCGTACCTTGATCCAACGCCAAGGGAAAAAAATAAAACGAGAGGGAAAAAAGAATGCAATTGGTATCCAACGCCAAAAAAGATGAAAAATGATGCGGGGATGCTCTAATTCTTTTGTTTTCTTTTTTTTCTCTTTGTCAAACAGCGTTGCCAACCTTTTCATACGCCGTCGTATGCTCCAACAACGGCACCGCCGAGGAGGAGGATGCCCCCCCCCTTTTCCGCCAAAAATAATTGCCAATATAAAACAGCATCGAGATGCCAAAGATGGAACCGCCCATGGCGCCAGCCGCCGCCGTCGCCTTGACCGGGGGACGAATGGTTGTGATTCCGCTCGACTGCATAACGGCTTTTCCCGTGCGCATGTCGTACACAAACGAAGCGCCCATGACGTCGCCGCTCGCCGAGATGGCAGCGGCGCCAATGTAGCGACGCGAGACGACGCCGCCGCCGCCGCCGTCGGGGAGGACGATTTGCGTTTCGAAGCCGGTGCGGTTCGTCTGCGCAATGACGTTTTTGTAGTGGCTGACGGTGTCGGCCGTGTCTGAAGCAAGCTGTTCCCTGAATTAGCACACACACACACACATATATACACGAAGAGCATTCTCCGTCAAAACGGCCATTACTCACAATAGCCCATTGCGCGACATCGGTGGCGCCATTCCAAGAGACATATACAGTCGCGTTGGACGTGCTCTTCAACGGCGCGTCGACCGCAACGCTAGGCGGCCAGGACGGCTCGCCCTGCCATCGGTGCCGCCCGACGCGGTACGCATGCATGTCGCCTTCTCGCTGCCCACCGCCGACTCGACCGCGCTCGACGTCCATGACGGGCCGGCCGGCCTTGTCATACTCTACAAAGGCCGGATTGCCGCCCCACGCAATCATGACATGGCCCTCCTTGAGCATCTGCATGCTGCCACCGCCGCCGCCGCCTCCCATGCGGCTCGAGTTGAAACGGCCCTCGGGATGCCAGTACTCCTTGACCAGCGCAACCGTCTTTTGCTCCTGGTCCAGCCGCAGACGCAAACCGCGGGATGCTGCACAGTTGTCGTTATTATTACTGTTGTTGTTGTTGTTGTTGTTGTTGTTGTTGTTGTTGTTGTTGTTGTTGTTGTTGTTTCCGCTGCAGCCTCGCTCGGTGGCGCGCAGGTGATTGTCAAACAGGACGAGTTCGTCGTTGCCAATCAGCTGGGCATCGTGCTGCCAGGCAAAGCTGGTGGCGTTGCCGCCGTCAACGTCTTTAAAGTCGCTGTTTTTGCCTCCAAGAGTCCAGATGACGCTGCCGTCTTGGCCGTGAATCAGGGCAACGGTGGAAAAGTGACTGCTGGAGATTAAGTAGTTTCCATTTTCTGACTGGAGCGTGTGAGTATGTGTCAAGTGAAAAAAGCATGCTGTGAAACGCCAAAGAAAAAAAAAGAAAAAAAAATCGTTTATCCAGACGTACCTTTTCAACGGAGCTGAGATGAAAAAAGTCAAATCCTCCAGGGGAGCCAACTCCAAAATCCACGTCGTATGTTGCAAATGAATCGCTCAGGTCAAAGTGCTCGCGTGCACTCCATTCGAAAATGACCTTGTTCGTCGCTGGATCAATCTCTTGGAAGCCACCATCTTGTAGCGGTGCTTCCGCAGGCCCTCCCACAGCAGAGCAGTCAAAGCTGACCGTCTCATACGTGGCCAGCAGGATGGTATTCTCTCTCGTGACGCGCATCTCGGGCACGTCGTTGCGAAGAATATTCCTCGAGCCCTTGGCTGTCAGGTTGTACTTGAGCTCATACTTGCCATCGTACATGAGCCAGTGGCCATCCGTGCCGTCGTTGCTGCCACTCGCGCCCTCCCAAAAGGTGAGATATCTGGTGCCGTTGAACGTCTGCGCCGACGACGCGTATACCTGGCTGAATTGCTGCTGGTCCGCGTATACGAGGCTCAGGTCCTTGCCGCTCAGAATCATGGGCGCCGACCTGTTGTCCCCGTACGTCGCGCCGATAAAGATGTACGACGAGCCATCCGTCTGTGTCTTGTCCCACGAATTTACCTGTAGCACGGGCGCGATAATGTCGCTCGACCGAAACGTTTGCTGCGGGAAGAACCCATTCGTCTTGTTGGCAAAGGCTGCGTAGGCGCCGCCGGTGCTGTTGGTAAAGTTGGGCTGGTCGGCCGCCGCCGCTCCCCTGATGATGGAGAGCAATACCGCTGCTGCGGCGGCAGCGGCGGCGCAGGATGTGCGATTCAACGGCATGCTGTCAACGAAAGGTAGTCGTGGCCAAGAGAGCGAGCAAAGGGCGATTGCGTAAAATTGATAATATTCTGATTCAGAGAATGGGTCGAAACTCGGCTTCAGCTGCACCTCGTAATGAGAGAACACACCCGTCACCTTTGTTAGGCCGTAGTGTCAATAAAGTCGGTGTCCGGCGCCGTGCTGTTTGAATTGAGAGAATGTAGTTGGTTATTGCAGACTGATGCAAGAGGGGACAAGGCCGCAATCTTCATCATGAGAGGCGGCGGCATGGCCCCCCGCATGCATGCAGATATTGGCCACATTCAGGGAAATTACGTAGAGCCTCTTCATTATTGCTTTATCCCGTAGATGCCAAAATGATGGTGTTCATTAAATGGACAAGATGGAGTCTAGTGTGTTGTAAGGCCCGCTCGCGACCAGGTATGCAAGCAAGGGTTCGTAGAGACAAAAGGGGCGTCGTAGCATGGCACTCGACTTCACTCTTGCCGGGGTCAGATTGGTAGACCGCAATTTCATGATGCCTACGGATTAATACGTTTGCATTTCCGCCTTCTCATCGCATAAATCCGGCCGAGTTGGGGTTCGCGCCCAATTTTTCGCTCCCGGTCCTAGTTAGAATCTCATTTATATGGTGTAACCAGACTATCCCGTCCAGTGGCGCCTCGCAATCAATCCGAAAGCCCCGAAACTCGATATTGCAATACGCCGTACCTAGTGCTCGTTCCCGGCTAATAAAGCACGAGGGGCCGTTCCTAGATCTTGAAAATGAGCCATCAAGTCGTACGTACTACTCTACATTTGGTTGGTAGAGTAGTTTGTTCGGCAGACACACACACCATCCTACTACCTATTCAGAGTAACCATGGTGCTGGAAAAGCCAACCCTGTCTGTAGCAATTGGATATTATTAATGAAAGAGCAGTTTCATTACCGATCCTTCCGAGCTGTCTGCCGGAGATTTAGTTTCAGGTGGTCTACATTAATCCTATTCTATGGCTTCCTCTCATCCTAGTGGAAAAGCTACCACTTCAATTGGAGCAACTCCATCAGTTAATTCAACATCAAGAGGTCCGGCCGAAACAAGACGCTACGAGTTCCTTGTAGACCAACTTGGTCTCTCCACAGAATTTAGGGTCCACCAAGACCAGAATCGCTGTAAAATGAGACTCGAGACAGGGGTTTACACGTGAGACTCATATTGCCACCCTGCTATTAGATACTCCGTCCAGGAGTCGGCCAAGTCGGGCTTTCAACAAATGCGATTAGTTCAGAAAGGCGGTGAGATAAGGTGCCAAAAGTATCATGGTATTGAGCAACTTCAGTTGAGTGATCAACGTGTCTAAATATAACCATCTGTCAAAAACTCTCCCTACAGAGTACAAAGAATGGCTTTCGCGCCATTAGATGGGCTCATCACGGGGCTCAATCAGAACCTCGTTGACTGCCACATGTGGGGGCTGGCAAACCGCATATACAATCGATGAGGCGACATCCGTCGGGTCAAGAACCTTGGCCCCAGTAGGCTCACCAAATTTCTTGAGGGCTTCTTTATCCGTAGACATGCCGAGAAGATCAGTCTCGGTGTTACCCGGCTGGATAGAAGTAACACGCAGGCCAGTTCCAGAAGTTTCGAGTCGGAGACTTTGCAGCGTCGCTTCCACAAAGAACTTGCTAGCAGAATAGACACCCAGTCCAGGGAAAACCTTTCGTCCAGCGTCAGACGAAATAGCGACAATGTGGCCACCGCCCCGCTGCAGCATGCCAGGGACAGTGTTCGACAAGCAATGCAAGAGACCCTTGCAGTTGACGTCGACCGTACGCTCCCACTCGTCCGTCTGCACGTTCGCCATCATGGTAAAGTACATGACGCCAGCGCAGCTAACCAGAATGTCAATGGAGCCGAGCTTTTCTTGCACAGTCTGCATCAAAGACGCAACATCTTCCTTCTTTGTGACATCTGTCTTGTGTGTCAGTACCTTGCCTCCGTGCACAAGCACCTTCTTCTTAATCGCCTCAAGTGCATCGAGACGACGAGCCGCAAGAGCAACATGCGCGCCCTCCTTGGCGAGACCGGCTGCTACCGCCGCACCAATTCCAGAGGAAGCGCCGGTAACGACAGCTACCTTGCCAGCAAGACGACCCTTGGTCTTCAAGCTTGCGCCATTCACACCGTTGACGCCATTGACGCCATTGGCTTTCTGACGGGGCGGCCGAGGCAACCAGCCACGGGCGTAAAAATGTTTGGCATACGTGTTCCAGAGAGCAGCATCAATGTTTGGCCGTTTCATGCCATACAAGTCCAGTGCTTCTTGTGTCTTGTCGTCTTTGAGGACCATGACGCACTGCAGTGCTTCCACAGTCGGCATACCACCTCGGAGAATGTCGACAGTGAAAGGCTCGTCGCCCTTGTTGGAGCCGCGCTTCTCTTGCCACATGGCAACCCACTCGTTCCAAGGAAGCTTCTTGGTATCGTACCCAAGCTCATGCAAGCACTCAAAGATCTTCGCCGCAGTGGGAGGCTTGGAATCACCAACATGATACACTGTTTGACTGGGATCATCATGATTTGCCAGAGTCGTAATGGCGTCACTGACGAAATCGACCGGTGTCATTTCCGCATACCAACCGTCGACATCAGGCACATGACCCATATGAAGAGACTCGACGATGAGAGCGTTTAGCAAATCGTACGTGTTGGTGGCACCGGTGGTCGAGTGTCCACTGATCGTGCCGGGACGGTAAACCTTGACCGGCACACCACGGCGTCCGGCCTCGTATACGAGCTTTTCTGCAACCCACTTGGTTTGGCCGTAGCCATCCAGCAGATCTGTAGGGACAGCGTCAATGCCGATCATTGTGTCCTCGGGCCATCCCTCCACCGAAGGCGGAAGCACACCATTGGTGGAAACATGATGCAGGGTAGCGCCATGGCGGGAAGCAAGGCGCAGCATCTCTCTTGTACCACCAACGTTGGCATTGCGCAGGGCGGCGTATGGGTAAACAAGGTTGACGGTGGCAGCCGCATGAATTATGACTTGGGCGCGAGATGCGAGGTCGTCAAACATTTCTGGCGACAAACCGAGGCGCTTTCGTGCAAGGTTACCAGGAAAGATGTCGATCCTGTCAAGCATGGAATCTTCCCAGATGCCGAGATCGATCAAGTTTTTGCGGACACGGGCAATACCCGCCGGTCTGCAGTCATCTGTAGGTTCGGTGAAACGCACAAGACAGATAATGTTGGCCGTGGTATTATCAAGCAGCGACTTGAGCAAAAATGCACCAAGATAGCCAGTAGAGCCTGTCAAAAGTACAGTCTCTGCGTCGCGCAGTCGGCACATTTTCGAACCGGCGGGAGCTTGAATATCATCGGGCAGGACACAGTCCGCTTCCAGAACAGCCGGTAAGTCGGCCTGGACAGCCGCAGTGTGACCATCGCGCGCGGCCTTGACGGCTGCGAGGTGGCCCTCCAGCGTCGGGTTACCAGCAAGCGGAGCCAGAGGCACAGGGAAGCCAAAAGCCTTGGATAGGCGATTGGCCAGGTCAGCGAGGATAAGAGAATGTCCACCGAGATCAAAAAAGTCGAGGCTGGAATCAATGGCGGCTGCCGGCATGCCCAGGGCAGCTGCCCAGATCTGTACAATTGTTTCCATTTTGACTCGTACATTATTCTCCGGCTTCTTCTGGCGCGGCGGAGTCTTTGGCGAGGGAGGTGGCGGCAGCGCCTTCAGGTCAGTTTTGCCCGAGACCCCGTGGGTCGGTAATTCGACCAGCTCAACCCACAGCGGCGGAATCATATAGTGCGCCAAATGGTCAGTGAGCGCACGTCGTGCCACGGGGCTGTATCCTGAGTCGTCAATGACGACAATGGTGCGTCCGGAAATATCTTTAGTTTCTGGCACGATGTAGGCGACGAGCTGGCGCTGGAGGCCTTCGCCCGTCGCAACGACAGCACAGTCGCGCACTGCCAAGTGCTTGACGATGGTAGTCTCAACAGCAGCTGGCTGCACTGTGTAGCCTCGCGTCTTGATCATGCCACCGACACGGCCAGTGATTTCCAGCAGGCCAGAGGGCAGAAGGCGGGCGATATCGCCGGTGCGATACATGCGGGCATTGGCATTGTGCTCAAAGGGATCTTGCTGAAAAGCTTTCTGGGTGGTCTCGGGTAGGTTCAGGTACCCACGGGCAAGCATATCGCCGCCGACGTAAAGTTCACCGCTGACCCCCGGCGCGACGCGGTTGCCGGCCTCATCGAGAATGTATGTGTGCTCCGGATCGGTAGGAGGTCCGACCGGGCAAACGCGCGTCTCGTAGTCAATAAATGTCTTGATGTCACCGACCGCGGCTTCATGCGTTTCACTCGCACTGTAAACATTGAGAATACGAGTATTCGGGATCGCCGCAAATGCGCGTCTGCAAAGGTCGGTCGTGACGACTTCACCGTTGAGCCACAAAGACTTTAGGTGAGGTACCTTTTCACCTAGATTAGGGTGACGAGAGAGAACTGTGGCGAGTAAAGTTGGGGTCATGAGGGTATCGGTAATTTTGCGAGCAGCAAGAAGCTCGACAAGAGCAATTGGGTCGTAACTAGCGTTGTCGGGAATTGCGACGGTGGTGGCACCTCGCAGAAGTGGACGCAACATTTCCCAAACGAAGAAGACATTGCAGGCGACCCGATCACCGGGTTGCAAGTCGCAAACACCAAATCTCGCATTGTACGAGGTAATTGCGGCTCGGTGAGGGTTGGCAATGCCTTTAGGTTTGCCTGTAGTTCCAGAAGAATACGACACAAAGGCCAAGCGATCTAGGTCCTCTTCATCGGGAAGCGGGCGCTTCGTGTCGACAGTTGACATGTCAGGACAGCCATTGGTGGCACTCTCAGGCTGATCAAGAATGATTATGGGGATATCGGACTTGATTTGGCCAGCATGGGCCTTCTGCGTTATGATGACGGTCGGCTGGGCGTCTTCGACAACGTCGCGAAGCAGAGCAGAGGGGTACGCAAGTTCCAAGACCAAAAAGGCGCCACCTGCTCGGAGTGCAGCAAGAGAGGCAATGACGTTGTCAGCGCAGCGCCCCATCAGTACACCGACCAGGCTATCGCGGCCAATGCCGCAATTGCGCAGGCGGTCTGCCAGTGCCCATGTCTCACTGTCGAGCTGAGCGTATGTAAGAGTGCGGTTTTCGTCTTCGAGAGCAATGGCGTCGGGCGTCGACTGCGCCTGAAGCTCAAAGAGAGCCGCCAAGTCCTTGCTCGTGTCGATGTAGGACATGGTCGCGGGAGAGTGTGTGTCAGGAGAGAAAGTTGTTGAGCGAGAGCGTTCTGCGGAGGATTCCGTCCTATTTAAAGTCGCCACGTCCCCCAGCCAAGGTTACCAGCGACGAACCGAGAAACGAGCGGGCAAGGTCCGAAAAACGGTCAGACTGTAGTCGAGACTGGTATTTAGACTGTAAATCTAGAAAAAAAGAGAAGCAGTAAAAGTTGCATTAGCTTCGAGATGTCGGTGTAGCAACTAGGCTTAGTGTGCCAATTTTGGGTGATTTGGGTAACTCGTCACGCGACCGAACAAGGGAGTGATGACGAGTGACTGGCGCAGACAAGGGCCGAAGCGTGATTGGCGGCGGACAAACAGACATACCTGAAAAAACAAAAAGAGACTTATTAATGTGCACGCAAGTGATGGCTTGAAGGAATGCGTTTCGAATGCCGAAGATGTAAAGCAACAAACAATTGAACTAAGTCAGAGAGAGAACAGAGAGAACAACGTGTACGAACAATTGGGTTCGTCGCCAGATGGGTCTGTGGAGTGCTAGCTGAAAATCACATGCAATGGCTGGCCCTTGATTTGTTCAACAAAAAATGGCGGCAGATATTTTGGTGACGTTTTGGGGTCGGCGGACAAGGATGGGCACCACCATCAAAATGGACACAGCCTCGATGTGCCTTCAGCTCTTGACTTCAGACAGCGACGTGCCGAACGGTTGATTGAACTTCGAGCCCCGCGTGCCTGCATCCAGCGCCGCCGCATCACGAAGCTGGTACGTTCTTCTCTCCCATCTTCCGTCTCGGGCCGTCGCCCATCAATCGGCGGGCAGGAAGGCTGTCTTATCTTACCTTTCCCCCCCCTTTTGCTCGCCCCAACCCAGCCCATCTTTTCGTGACTCGCTATCCTCGGCTCCAGCACGAGCCACTTGTACTGAAAGGTCTGTTACCGTCGAACAGGCTGATAGCCAAATGACGTTTGTGACGAAGCCAATCGTCACGACGCACGTTGATGGTTGAGTTGCAAGACGACAGCCATCTTGTATTTCCTCATCAGGCAACAACAGGGTACCCTTGTATTCATCTGTACTCCAGTCTCCTCTATCGCACCGCATCCAGGGTTAGAAATTAAGTAGTAAATACTAATTAAATACTGAATTAGTAAGTAAAAGTCTATACTAATACTAAACTAATTTAATTAGTATAGATGTACTAAATTAGTATTTTAGTAACTAATTTAATATTTTTTAAAGTAATCAATTAAGTATAACTAAATAATATATTTAAATTCTATAATTCTATTCAAGGCTTAAGATATTAAAAAGGGCCTTTTTTTCTATATATACTTTTTTATAATAAATTTAGAATTTAGATAACATTTGAAACGAGACTTAAAAGTAAAATAGAAATTAATTATATAGAAATTATAATAAAATAATATAAGGTTTTGCTAAGTATATAATATATCATATGTTAGACTGATTTATTATCTCTAGCAGAAACTCTAATCTATAGTCGTTAGTGTTCCAAATCCCAGATACTTCGTCGAGCCCATCGAGAATGAACAGCGTTCGACAGTCATCATGGCCACGCAGTGCTCGGCTCAGCTCTTTCGTAAAACGGCCGCCCCCATCTTGCCCTATGTTCCTGGAGTATTCCTGATAAAATAAGTTTTCAAGGTTTCATCCCTCGACGGCACCCACGGCACGCGATCGAACAAATTCCTCCACATACCAGTGTGGATGAAATCGTAGACTTTCCTTTTACAAAGCGTAGTCTTTCCAACCCCTGCACGTCCTCTGACCAAAATTCGTCGTGGATTTATTGATCGATAGTTGGTTATGCTGCGCTGATTGAATACTGCAGCCAGCTCAACCCGAGCTGACTTGAATGGTGCCTCAACCCTTTGTCGAGCAAAAGGGAGAAAGGGGAAGATGTTGTGCTTCCTTGGTTGGAGTCATCTACAGATTGATATTGTTGTTCAACTATTGCCAAGTTGATATAGCATTGATCCATCGGTAACAGTTAACCCGAGAGCCGTTCAATCTTGAGCCTAAGATTGCTAAGCTGGGCGGCATGTCTCTGCAAAGACAATAGCAATGTCTTGTCTGACCCTAGGAAGCTTGTGACGGAAGCCAAAAGGCGGCGCACCCCAGCCGATTTCTCCACAATCGCCCCCTCTAAACTCACTAGAATTCGATATGCCCATAGATGCGCTCTGCAGAATCAACCTACATACACCTGTGCTATCAGCTGCGAAGATACAGCAACACTAACCTTATCCACCCAGTCAGCCGGCTAATTGAACCATGCGGCGGGACTCTAGGTAAGAGATGTGGCGGGTGTTGAGCGACTAAATCACAATTTCGCAGCCACATCGAGAGGTGACTGGCATTCTGACAGGTGGTTCGCCTAGAAACAGTATCTGGTTCACGCTGCAGAAAGACGTCCGCCCCTTTTACCCAGCAATTGTGCAGGGCAAGGCAAAGAAGCAGTATTTCCTGCCTCAAAAATACTACTCCTCATCTATGTTATATAGACGAACGACGATCACCTGTCAATCCACGCGTAGTGGGCATGAGAGGGCTAGCTACAGTCCATGTGCACCACGTCCACCCCCCAACCTCCCCACGCCGGCAATTTGCGCGGCCCTTGACACATAAATACATTACGGTAAAATTGATAGTAACTATTATTGCTATTGATGGCTCCAGCTTACTCTCCCTCGCCTGTATAAGGCCAGCAGCCTATTGCTTATGCGCGCTGACCGCCGAACATGCCCCTGTTAACGAGCCTCGCTCGCTAAACTAGTCTCGCCTCACTCTACAGCGCACAAGTTGCATCTAACTATACCTAGTGTCCCTGCATTCGTTATTAGTGCGCTATACTGCCTTGGGGCTAGTGTTTAATCTCGCGCAGGGGTATAGTCATACGTCGCAATTTAGCCTCAACAAAATCACGTATTGCGGGTGAATTTGCATGTGAAATCAGGCTGCGAAGTAGCGTAGAATTGAATCATCGCATACTTTGGACGTAAGTTTTCAAGTTCCAACTTGCTGTTTGCCGTGCCCGTTGCCAGCTGGCAGCTGGCAGCTGGCGGTTGGCAGTTTGCAGACCAGGTGACAGGCCTGGAAACCCTGATTATCACAACGGAAAGCGTACAAACGAATATGGGAGCAGGTCGAGTAGAGCGCAAATTCAACAGATACGGTCAGCTCTCTACGATACAATCCATTTCCGCGGGCCGTAGACAGTGCGCTGCCCTGCGTTTTTGATACAAGTTTCCCGTCGGTAGCAGCCCGAGAGGAGATAAAGCAGCGCCGCCGCAGCCTCGTCCACGTGGCTGAGGATGTGGATAGCAGTTGGGCTTGGTCGAAATCGGCCAGGCATTCTTCTCCTTGCAACTCAATTACATCACGTCAAAATCACAAAACCGATTGAAGATTATATCGGGTTCCATTGCTATGAAGTATTCAACCGCCACCAGGACCCTTGAGAGTCGCGCCAACAAATGCTTCCACAACTCTCATAGAGAATCACCTGGCTTTGATGCCGTCAATCATCAACCCCTGCGCCGAATGCCCAACATCGAATAAACTATAACTAAAATGCTTAAAAAAAATACTCGCGAGAAACCAATAAGTTATACAGATTTGTGTCAGTCCTTAGGTGGTATCAAACGCCCGCTACCTCTTCGTGTGAGACGACATCTAGTTTACTCGGATCGACCCTTCACCAGATCAACCTCCGCCAACGGCACAACCTTGGTGCGGTATACCAGCTTGTGGGCAATGTAAAACACCACAAAGATGAGGACACTGACATATGCCGCAAAGAAATCGCTCGTATTCCAGTTCATGAAAACTGTGAAGCCGCTCGTCAGGATAATCAGGACATTGAAGAAGAGACCAAACCACGACAGATATGGCTGGAATGGTGCGACATATGGCAGCGAGCTGCGATCGATGTTTTGCGCCTTGAGCGCCTTCATGAAGCGGATGTGGCAGTAGTTGATCAGTGACCAGGTGATGAAACCTGCAACTGAGGTGATGTTGAGCAGCCAGGTGAAAACCGTCGCGCCATTTTGGCTAAGGTTGAGAAAGCCCAGAAAGCCGAACAGACAGCAGAACGAGACCGAGAAGTACGGAGTTCCCCATTTATTGGTGCGCTTGAAAATCTTGGGCGCGTGGCCATCCTCGGCCAGACCGATGAGGATACGGCTGCTCGAGTACAGGTCCGAATTGGCGGCAGACAGGACGGCGGTGAGCAGAACAGCATTAATGATGTCGGGCAAAACCGTTATACCAGCCCGCACGGCAACCAGGACCAGCGGTGACGCACTGGCGTCCTTCTTGTCGCTCGATAGCCTTTCGTCAGTGTACGGGACGTTAATGCCGACAAAGAACACAGTGGCGATGAAAAGGGTAAAAATGCCCCAATATGTCCATCGAATGGCCGAAGGGATCGTCTTGCGTGGGTTCGATGTTTCGCCCGCGCCGACGGCTACCAGCTCTGTACCCTGGAAACTGAAACCGGCGGTAATGAGTGTTGCCCAGAAAGCCACAAACTGGCCAGTGCTGCCAGTGACGATGTACTCGGCAAACGCGCCAGGGTCGCGCCAAAACTTGAAGCCGATATAGCCTTCCCTTCCAACTCCAGCATTGACACAAATCGAGAAGATGACAAAGCCAACAACGGTGATAACCTTGATGCTGGACAGCCACATTTCAACCTCTCCAAACCAGCGAATGGGTAAAAAGTTGGCAGCCGTGAAAATGAACCAAAAGACAGCGATCCAAATGCCAATGCTGAGACTCTTGTCCCAGTACTGGATGATCAGACCGGCAGCGGTCAGCTCAAGGCCAAAGGTGATGACCCAGCTGAACCAATAGATCCAGCCCATGGAGAAGCCGAGAGTGGGATCAACAAAGCGTCCGGCATATACGGTAAAGCTACCAGCAACAGGGAGGTAGGCGGCCATTTCACCAAGAGCGACCATGACCGAGTAGACTATGAGGCCGACGAAGAGGAATGCAATGAGAAGCGAGCCGGGACCAGCATTGGCCAGGGAAGAGCCGATACCCAGGAAGAGGCCGGTTCCCAAAGCAGCGCCGATGGCAATGAACTGAAGATGACGCCCATTAAGTTCACGACTCAGGCCTTCGCCGGTCGAGCCAGTCTCGACATCGGTGCCACCAGCCAATACCGACTTTTCATTGCCTTCGGGTTGCTTCTTTTCATTGCTCACACGGGGAGAAGGCTCGGAAGAGGAGGTGGCATTGCCCGAGAGACCAAAAGCCATGACTTAATGACTTGTCTGCGGCAATGCGCTCGTCGTATTGATATTCGAGTTTGAGGATATCGAGGAGTCTCGTCGAGCCGGATGAGGGGGAGGAATTGGATGCGACGGTGGGTAGGCGAAAAAAATTTGGCGTCCCAGTTGTAATCTGTTTTGGTGCTTGGCTGTTGACGGCAGTAGCGACGAAGGGAGCTCCAAGGCCGGCAACCAATACCGATCAGCAGTTCAGGGCAGCGAGGAGGAAAATGACGATGGAAAAAAGCGCGTGAGAGTGGAGGGCAGCCAGCTTTCTATCTATTCAAACTACAGCACTAAGTAGGGCCAGACTTTCCCCGTCCTCGTAGCGCAGGACCTTGCACACAGCAGTGCAGTATTGCTCCGCGATGGTCCGAGTGGAGAGAGACCTAGAGGCAAAGCGGATACAGTCACGACTAAGAGCAACGGATGAGGATGCAGGGGGCTTGCGTAGTGTGCGAGGCAATGAGGCTGCTAGGCATTCGTGCAGGCGAAAGACTGAGTTTTACAAGGGCCTCGTCCGCTATTGCGATAAGAGGCGCGGAAAAAAAAAGAGTTTGTGGACGCAGCCAAAAAATTACAGTGTTCGCTTGCTAATCGGTGCTCAGTTCTTTTGCCGCTACGTTCGCAGCCACGGGGCCGAGACTCGCAAGTTTTTTTTTTTTCGCCGTGTCGGACCAGCCGCGGCGCCGTTGCAAGGTTGCAAGGCAACTCATTCTTCGGGTGGCGGCGATTTTTCCGGTCGCAGCCAGCCCCCAAAAAAGTGAGACATGGCTGCCAGCGATGCGCCACGTTCGAGGTTGCAACCACTCCATTACGTGGAAATGGAACAGAGGAACAATCACGAAGAGCCGCCCTCGACGCCTCCCTATCAGCAATTCTCTTGGAGATGAGACGAGGCACGCGAGGAGCCACGGAAATACGTGGTATCATGCGCGAATGAGGGGCTCGCGTCGGGCGCACTTGGCGCAGTACTCAAGTAATAATTACAGGCTAACCCGCACAATTTGTGGGGATTGGGTATCACTCGCTGCAAATGGATGAAAAACTTGCTGTCGTTCGTCATTCCTCCACCATCTGACCGAAGTCGCCTGTCGATTGTGCCAGCGACTGGTGGTGGACTGCTGCAAGTTGCTGGTAGAGTCATGGACCCTTGACCTTCTCTCCATGCAGTTGTTGGCGCTACCTAATAACTACAGGGGCTGAGGGAGCGGAGAAGACTGCGCTGCAGAACTAATTGTCAAGCTGGCAACTTTCCTTTTTCAGATGCGAGTGCCACACGACTATGGCCCGATGCTTTGCATTTGTTGGCCGACACCACAAGGACCTTGCGTCACTGAGCCCACGCTATTTGTATACGCACCGCGCTATTCCTGCAGGGTGTTCCGGAACCACTGCGACTTGGACAAGCAACTGTAATTTTTTTTGTTCTTTCCGCTTCCCCCATCGACTCGGCCTGGCCGTCTCTGAGAACGCGCTGCGGCCGCTAGCCTGAGAATCTCTCTATCTGCGAATCCCGGTGGCGGCCGTGCTAGTCAAGCCAAGCCATGCACCGCGGCTTGGAGCCGGCTTGGAATTCGACAAATGCACAAAACATGGCTTGCATAATGACCAATCGGCGCCGTGGCGCCCGTCCAAAAAAGGTAAGAAAAAAAATCTTCATATCCCGAGCAAAATTCTTCACCAGATCGGCAATTGATAAGAGCCAAGCAAAGTCGAATTCAGAACAACATGTCACGTTACCAAATTGCTATTGCAACGACCACTATTTATCTCCAGTCCACACTTTAAAGATTGACTATTTAGCAACAATTACGGCGGTATGGGGAGACCCAGTGGCCCGCACAAGTGGCTTGCTCGAGAAGTTTCTGAATCCTCGGCGATACGCACGACAAGTCGGCAGCTCGGGACAAGGGCTGCTGAGACGCCTGCATTTCTGCTGCGCAATTTTGGAAATGTGCGTGGTTGCTTTCCTAGCATCACAACCAGTATGGCAGTAATTGCTCTGGTCAAATTCTCCAATAATCAACGACGGCGTTCGTTGCGACGGTCGACAATCCCAGCATGGAGCCTTAGCAAGGGCATGGGTCCGTCTCATTTTGAATTGCAGTCTTGCACAAGCAGTGCAGAGCTGGATAACATGGTCACTACCAACGCCACTGGATTAGTGGTTCTACATACGGTAAACAAGGCCCATCTTCAGTGCGGGGAAGTTCGAGAAAGCTGCACTGCAACACTGTTTGTTGGTGGGCCTTTGTTTTTCATTACCCCATGATCATCAGGTTTGCAGCTCTGCTAGTGCGGGACATGACACAGGTCAAGGTCCAAGTTGGCTACCAGTAGGATTTATGACGGGGGTCTGTATTCATTATTATCTGTCCTGGCCCGACGCGAACCGACTTTTGCTATCTGTGTGGATCGCCATGAGATGTTCGAAAGGGCGCGGTCAGCGGACCCCCGGGCGATGAGGCTGATGGCGCGGACCGCGATGCAGCAGTTTGATTCGCAAGCGGCAAATCAATTACGCTTATGTGACATGTACCCACGGTGCCTCAATTTACATTTACATTTGCTAATCGACGGCCAACAGAGGGGCAACGCAATGCAGCAAAAGAGACTGGCGAATACTTGAAACATGGGGCCCCATGGGGAAGCACTCCGCCCCTCTGATCACCTGGAGACATAATTCGACACCATTTGTTGAGCTCCTCTTTTCCACGCCCTACATGGTCGAGAGCCTCGTCCTCGTTCCCCTACAATCAGCTTTTGCCAGTATCAACGCCCAAGAGCAGCCGTTGGCGACAGCCCCCGCGATGAACCCGGTTTGGGCTGATGCTGGTTCACCCCGGAGCATAATGCGAGGCCCGATGTCGGGCACATCGGGCAGCTCCGATGGAGAAGTTTTCATGGCCGGAATAGATGTAATTGTCGGGTACCCGGGTCATTTCCAATTCCTGATGAAGAATGATCCTAGCTTTGCAGTCTTTGTTGACTAGAAACGAGTCGTCTTCAAGGCCTACATCACTCATGCTTCGCGTAATCACGGAAGGCCGTATACAATATGCGAGCTCTTCGATAGAATTCTTCGCCTACCACGCGTGTGATGAACTTGTTGAGTGCGGTAAAGCCGTTCTCTTTCGACAAGTACAATTGTGAACATACACAAATTCTTCAACTGTATTGCACGCACCGAGGTGCAAAAGCCTTCTACGGTGTGCAATTTTGTTCTCATCTGCCTTGAATGATAACTTATCCTAGATTTTACATTTTTTTTCAATTGGTTTCCCGAGCTAAAGTTCGAGGAAGTACCGTTCAGGCGCCGAAAGTGGTGGCCAAGCTTCGTTTCATCTCGTCACTTGATGGCGGTTCAAGATCTCGACCCCTCACGCTTAAGAGGAATATATCAGCAGGTACAGAACCATCAAGTAGTAATGATGTAGGTAATATCAAATTAGCGTTTCAGACTGGCAACCTTGTTGTGCGTCTCATGCCTGCCACGGAGCATCACAGTCTGTAGAGGCTACGATACACGAACTATTAGAAGAGAACAAGAGCACGCAGAACGCAAACTGCTGATGGTCAAAGTATCATTTCATGAGATTTCAAACCCATATGTGATTGTGACAGAGTCGATTGCGGCTCTCTAGTATGGTTGGTGACACGATGCTAGAGGCACAACATGTGAAGCGGGCCAGAATGCGAATCGAACAGAACAGGATCCGCACCAGAGACGCAATAATGCTCGAGTGGATGTATGAGCTGTATCTAAGACATAAGCTCTGGGAAAATTGTCACTTCTTTCACGCTTCCATCGTCACCCCAAACTTGCACCGTAGACAAGGGCTAGAATGGGGGACTTAGCAACATCGAGACCCGCGGATTCATGGATTGAGGTTATATATGGGCACAAATCCTGTGTCATATATTCCTTGATGGCTGTATTAGTCGAACTCTGAACGAAATATTTCATCCTGTATGGCGGCATTGGGGGTCGAGAATCGGGAGCATTCACGTTGGAAATACACAAGTGAGCCAACGAACCCAGAAAATGCGACAAGAAGGCTCGGGGCTCCGATTTTTCCGTTTCTAGCTATCATCTATGTTCTCTATTGGCAGCCCGTATGCAGCTTCCTAGGGCACACTGCATCATCATGGCGGGCCTTGCCATGGCAGTCTCTCACGAGCCCAGGATGGTGTCGAGCCTCATCGACGTGCCTAATGATCGCTGCCCGAAGGGCCGGTGTATGGACGACAGTGTAAGCCGATACACAAGCGAAAAGTTTCAACTACATTTGGTTCTCTTGTTCGAAAGTTAGTGAACTTGTGACCTGAGCCATGACACTGATTTGTATGGTATGGTGGCTAATCCATCAATAAACATCACTACAGCGCAATAGATACGACGGACTGAGAATAAATGACCCTTCAATATCAGTCTTCAGATGGTTGCTACAGAGATTCTTGAAGAGATTCTGTATGGATCGGGCCCATGCACACCGGTTCAAGTCGCCGACGTTACCACAGATGCCTAACTTGGCCAGGTGTGGCGGCCAAGTAAGTTCTTAGGCAGATATATTCAGGCTGCCATCATTGCGAGAACAAGCATCTTTTAAATCGAGTTCTAGAATCAACATCTGCCTAAATGCTACGACACCTCAATGTCAGGCGGCTGGTGCCTACGAGGTTGCTACCCGTCAGCTGGGGCGAGTTGGAGCCATTTAGTTGGGCTGCTGTGCTGGCGTTGCTGATACACAACCACCGGATTCGACAAGACATCGACAAGACGAGATGCAGTCCTCGAGAGATCGATTTTTTTATTGTACGAAGTATGTCATGAGAAGTGAAATTTTTTTCTGGACTTTTTACCTGCGACGCGCGGGCACAGAGTGAAACTGCGAGTGTAAGAGGACAAATGATTACATAAGCGGCCTTGATTACAGGCACATGGTTCAAGCGTGGCGCATGTGATTGTGTGACGGACGAGGCTGAGCTGGAAGTGACGGCCAGCTTTTAGGCCTGGAACCCGGGGCCCGAGGAGATGTGGGAAGGATGACGGAGAAGAATTCGTAGAAATGAGCGAGACTGAGAGAATCGGGACACAACTTTTTGGTTAATCAGCCTTGTTGTACTGGCAACGAGGGGAGGTACTTGAGCATTGGGCGACTGTTGCTGGCACTCCTGAGTCCTATGTGACTGCGCCACCGAGTCACACGCTGGCGCCATAGGTGAAAGGCTGTGAGTCACGGTCATGCGCCGCCTCAATTTCGCACCCAAGATAACAGCACGGTCTTATGACATCAACATGGACCAATCAGCATCCCCCAGTTTCGCCTCTGCACCCGAACCCGTCGACCCGAGCACCCTCCCCCCAGGCGCTGGTCCTCGCCTCCTCGCCTCCTCGCCTCCTCGAGCGCTCCAAGGTCTCAATAAAAAGGGACAGTGCGGGCCACTCTATATACCCAGTCATCACCCCTCGCCGTACTGTTGCACCGCTGCTTTCGCTCTGCTTCTCCCAGTTTCACAACGACAACGTTGCGACGACGACCCTTGATCGCACCTTTTGCGCCCTGTGACCTATCCGCCCTCACTAAACTCGCTGGCGCGTTTGACTGCTCGACAACTGGAGCCCCGTCTTCTACATCTACCTACCCGCCCACCTACTCAGCCCTCTCCGTCCGACGTTTGCTCATCGGCCAACCTACAGCAAAGGCTGCTCAGTTCTATCATCCTTCTCCAATCATCTTCCTAGTACGCTCTTATAACATTCTTACACACATCATGGACGCGAGATCAACATCGGATCTACCCGACGCCATCTTCGAGAACGGCCACTTTGGCGCGGTTTCTCACCCGTATACCGCTCCTCTTTCTTCATGGGCTCACGAGCTTCGTCGTCGGGCAAGAAATCTCGCCAAAGAAAATGACCCTCAGGTCTGCTGGAGAGAGGGCTTTGAATGTGCGAGATATTCCAGTTCGCGCTTGTGCCCCGTCTTGAGCACTCTCGAGCCTTCAGCCTGGTACCATCACTTTGAAAGGCAGCTGCAGAATGCCTACAACAACGATGCTAAGAGCTTCCAAACAAGGAGACTGAGGGCGCCCGCCGAGGCTCGAAGTGGCCGTCGCCCACATACCCGCGGTGCATACTCGCCCAAGGACCTCGATAACGCCGTTGCTCTGGCCCGCAGTGGTATTCCTCTGCCGGGTGAACGCAACCACTACCGCAGACCCTCACTTGAGCGTCAAGAAGCCTTTTATGATTCCTCTACATCCAAAGTCTCAATACGACGATGCACTGCTTCCGAGGACGCTCAAGTTGCCGAACTCTATCACCGGGGTATTCTCTACAACAGTAGCGAGGATGTCAAGAACACGCTCGATCTCAACAGCATTTCCCATAGCGAGCCAACCTACATTATCCGTCCGGCTAAGCGAGCACGCAAGAATGCCAAGAACATGATCGATAATGGCGGCATGTACTCTTTAGAGTGGCCTTTGCATCTCGATCTCCCCTTTTCCGACATTGGGAACGACGAGGCTATTGCGCGCTTCAGCTCTCCAACTCAACAGGTTTCTCCAGAAGGGATGATGTTACATGCATCTTCTCATGACTCGGCGAATTCTGCGAACCCTCCTCTCCGGGTCATTTACGAACTGGCCGGCTCGCAGGGCTCTGTCGACATTGACGCGTCGCAGCCTCCTGATCTGATGCCAGATTGTGATGAATACGATGTCGTGAATGAGAGCGAATTTCACGATACACCCGAGAGTTCTCAAAACTCTGTTGCCGATCCATCATTGGCTGCTTGGGTCGTGGTAGGCGACGACTTGTAACAGGTTCGCTGAGAACCCTCCGCGCTCCATTGGGGCCCTGCAAGGATATTGGAAACGAGGCGCATACATCTACGGACGGTCCTCATAAGCCCAGCATGGCTCTTTGGCGTTGTGATTTAACGTTGTTTTGGGGAAATGGAGTTTCTGCGTAACAAGTGTACTCTATTATTGATCAAGGCCACAAGGCTGGGATACAATGTTTTCTTGGCGGGCACTCAGACTTGTACAGACTTGTGCAATTTATTGCTTGTATCAAATATAACAGGGTCTAGACATGTAAATTGTACTATTGACTAGGGATCCTCTTGCCGAAAGTAAAGCATAAATGCATCGACTGCTGCTTGTTGACGTGCTTGCGAGTTGTCGACTTGTAGCACTTTGAGTCACCCTGATGGCCAGGCATCCGTCATTTAACCAGAGGCTCTTGGGTCGCGTGGCCCTTATCGTTGTATCGAATACAAAACTAAAATGAGCATATTTTGACTAGTGTCGACGTACGCTTTCAAAGTATAGAAAACTTCATCTCGAAGCTTATAATTCCTGGCGAAATGCGCCCATCTCGGAGACCTTTTCTAACTCGGCAGGTACCGGGGGGGCCAGCTCGCCGGTACGGCCCCACTCCCCCCCCGAGTGACATGTCATCCCCGGAAACCTCGAATTTGTTGTTAGGGGTTCGGTGCATATAACCCATCCCGTATAATGTCTTTGCAGAATCGGAGCCTTTGAGAAAAAACTCGAAATGGAGAGTCATGGGCTTTGGTGGTGGGGGAGGATAGCAAGTACATGTCTAATCTCTCTGCCTGGACGGATGATGAAAATCGTGCATATATATATATATATATACAGAAAGAACGCCATTTGCCAGCCGTAATGGTCTATTTCCAACAGCAGCGTCTCTCCAGTCACCAACTATCCAAATTCGCATACCGCCTCGCCGTCCCATGCGCCACGGCCTCGTACAGCTTCATACCGAGATCTCCCGCGGCAGTGCCAACACTAGTCCTCCTGTCCGTCTTATCCTTGACATCTTCCCCGCAGCGAGCCCCCCCTTCCCCGCGGTGGCAGTGGTGGTCCGTGAAGAAGCTCGTGCGAGATGGTCACGGGGTGCGACGATCAGGCTGAAGAAGAAGAAGAAGAAGAAGAAGAAAAAGAAGGCGGGTGGGACGACAAGGCAGCAGTGATTTGTCGTCTGCGCGATTGGAGGTAAGCTGCAGTAGCAGCAGCAGCAGCAGCAAGCCACGTCGTTGTTCGTCGTTGGATTTGGACGAAAGCACCGGGCGCGGGGTGGTCGGCGCGCAGCAGCAGCAGCAGCAGCAGCAGCAGCAGCAGGGACCGCCCACCTGCGCGGTATCACGAATTCGGATGGATGGCTTACGTCAAGAGGTTCCGAACAACAGTTTGCGGGGTGGACGATGGATGGGGGCGTTGCAGGATTTGGCGGGAGAGCTGGTATGTATGGGTGGCTTGTTTGGTGGCGTTGCCGATCGAAGGAATGCAACATTGGAGCCTTTCCGCGTACTGTTTGATCATGCGCCCGGATCTATCTTATCATCTTATACATTTACAGGCTGTGCTGGCCAGTGTGTTTTATTTTCTTCGTCTAAGCTCACCTGCATTGAAAGCCTTGGCTGCACTCGGTCTTCTATGATCGTTCTTGCATGCAAGCATCGAGAATGTATGCCTTGTGCTAGTTATGCCATGTTTCACCCACGAGGCTGCTGCCTGGGCCCGTCATGTACTCGAACAACCAAGTAGCCAGGCCAGGCACGCCAGGGCCATGAGGCGGCCCATGCAGCACACTTGCATTGACTCGGGGGCCGTCTGCAGGTAGGCTAGTGACGAAATTCAACGCCGCATGCATGTCACAACGTCAGCCCCTCGACGGCATGTTATTAGTTTATTAATAGTATATAAAAACTGGCGGTGAAGTGTAAAGAAGTCAAGAAGTGGAAGAAAATTAACTAAAAATTTCAAATTCAAATTCAAATAGGAGTTTCTAGTCATACATTGCCGCATCAAGCAAGGTGCATGGACTGAGCTGTATGCACACGCCAAAGAACGGCTTGTTTCTCATCTCCCGCCGCTAAAGAAATGTTCCCACCATACCGGATACATAGGCCTAGGATACTATCATGATGATTGATGGTTTTTAGTCCATGACATGACGGTCAAAGACGAACCCCAAAGCAGTAGAAGCCATTCCCGAACGATGTCGCGATCTTGCGTAGCGGCCGTGGGTGCCAACCCAGCTTGCCGACGTCATCTATTTTTGAGCGCTCTTTGAACAGTTTTTCCTCTAGGGAGCTAACTACAACAGCCAAGAGACAGAGAGAGAGGAGGGCCATTTGTCATGGCCGAACTGGAAAGGGCTGAATCCAAATCTCCCAGAACCTCGGGGAAAACCAAAGGGCGGCCACCGGTAGAGCTAGGGGGGGGGCGCTGCCCAACTTGTTCAATTTGTTCCCATGTACAGGGGGGGAATTTATTTTGGTCATCTGCATGTTTTCTCAGAGACAAGAGAAAAACCCCAGCATTTGAACCCGAAAAAAACCTTGAACCCGGAAACTCGGGAGTTTTCTCCCGTCACCTTCTATATATAATCGAATGGCTCTTATCCAATGCAACACCCCATGACCTTTGTGTCCCGTGAACCCGTCAAAACCGAAGAACGGCAGTGGTTTTTTTTTGTCCCAGGTTTTCCCCATGATTGTGCGCCCTGCACGAACCCCATATTGTCCCAGCGCCAGGGCCTTAGGATGCCCTTATCCGCATACATGTGAGACTTGCATCTTGTTTATTTTGTTTTTGTTTCTGCGCCGCACCCCCCCTCTGCTTTCAACCAAAACGTCCCGCATACGTTGTCTTTTTTCCCTTTTTCTCTTTTTTGCTTTTTTCTTGTTGGCGGGCCGTTTATCTTTTTGTTTTGGTTTTTGTGTCTCTCGGGAATCCAAGACCTCGGGTACTCGCGTCAAGGAAAGAAAAACCGTTCAGTTCCAGTTTGCTCCTTTCTCCCTCCATGTCTAAAACAAGCGAAACCCTTTTTTTTGGGGGGTAGTATATGGAAAATTTGATGCCAGAGATTCGAAATTACAGAAACATGCAAAAATACTCCTCATAGACAGGACATCTGGTGATCTGCCAAGTAGTAGTAGTAGTAGTCAGGCTTCATGACGACATTGAAAAACGGAACGTTGTGGCTCCGGCGAACGGACAGTGACAAATACATGATTTTTCCCTGTAGTTGCTACCCAATCAAGGTTCGAGCGTCAATGTGCTTATGAGAGAGAAAATAAAATGCATCTCTACAAGACCTCGGCAATGGCAAAAACAACCGCAACAGCGCTTTCGGGTCCTGCAACTACCTGCATTGCTGCAACTAGCCAGACCATGTCTCAGCATCATGAATGCACTTGCCAACTAGTTGGAACTAGACTGAAAAAGGGTTGGTTGTCCATGTCAACGCAAAGACGGCCCTTTTGATCTAGGGACCCGAAAACAGGAACGGATCGAATGCGGCAAGATTATTATTATTAGTTGGGCGGCTTCGGTAGTGGTTGCGCGGAATCATAGCTCGCCACCACCCCACAACTCATCATGATTTGGAAGACTTCTCTCATCAACAACGTCCTCCTCTTTCTCTCTCTCTCTCTCTCTCTCTCTCTAAATATCTCTCTCTCTCTCTCTTCAATCTTTGGTAACCACCCTAACCACCCTAAACACACCCCCACCCTCCCCCAGTGTCTTTGGCTTTTTTGCCCCCAATGCTACTTTGTAGCCTTGCCGGCGATCGTCCTCTTCTCCACCCACACTTGTATATCGCAACTCCACGCAAGGCACGGCGCGCGCAAAACACCACACCACACCACCTACACCTACACCTAAACCGTCATTGTGCTTGCGTCGAGGCTAGGCCTGATGGGTTGGACTTTGAATCATTTGACTCCGGGACATTTATTTCCCTCTCAATCAAATTCCCAGAAACAGAAAAAGATGCCATGAACAAGGAAAGACCCGTGTAAGCTCATTACTTCCCATCCCTTGTGTGGTGTGCCTGACGTTGTTTAATGACTACCTACTTATACAACAACCACCTCCCCCGTTCCTTCCTCTTTTGAACGAGTTTCTCTTTCCCCCCTCCCCCTCTCTACAACATCGTCGCCTCTCCATACAACAAAAGTCACAGTCCGTTTTCTTTTCCTTTGATAGCATGTTTAAGCTCGCTCTGGCCTCTGCGGCATTCGTCACCGCCGCCGTCGCCGCTCACAACGGCAAAGACTGTCACGACATCCTCGTTCCCGTCACTGTTGACACAACGCTCAAGTCGTTTGACTATACGCCCACTGACGAAGAAATCGACACGACCAACTTTTTTCTCGACTTTACACGCCATGGCGGTGACTTCATGACACGGATCATTACGAGCGTGCGTTTCTAAATCCTCACTTACGCCAACTGCAAAAACACAACAACTAACACACACCCTCACAGAACGACTCCCACATCCACAAAGACTACACCCTCGCCGCCACAATCTGCCACCCTCCCTCGGGCCCTTCCTCTACTCTTCAGATCCTCACTCACGGCGTCGGCTTTGACCGTTCCTACTGGGACTACCCCTTTGCCTCGTACAACTACTCGTACGTCGCCCACGCTCTCGATGCCGGCCACTCCACCCTCACCTGGGACCGCCTCGGCATCGCCCAATCCTCGCATGGCGACCCCGTTCAGGAGATTCAGCTCGCTCTCGAGGTTGAGGCCCTGCACCAGCTCACCCTCCGCGCGCGCGACGCCCACCTCTGCGGCCTCGAGGGCCACCGCTTCGCCCGCACCGTCCACGTCGGCCACTCGTTTGGCTCCGCCATGACCTACTCCCTCTCTTCCAAGTACCCCGACATCACCGACGCCATTGTTCTCACCGGCTTCTCTCAGGCCCCGGCCTACATGGCCCTCTTTGCCCTCGGCGCCGACTTTGCCCCCGTCGCTTCCGTCAGCCCCCGCCTCAAGGAGCAGTACGTCACCGGCTACATTGCCCCCAAAACCTCCATTGGCGTGCATATTGACTTTTTTGGCCCCGGCGACTTCTCCGCCGATATGCTGCAAGACGCCACCGCTCACGGCCAGCCCGCCGCCCTCGGCGAGCTGCTGACTGTCGCCGACGGCGCCGCCGCCCCGAGCAACTATACTGGCGCCGTCTACATCATTACCGGCGAGTACGACGTGCCCTTTTGCGGCGGCAACTGCAACATGCCCATGCAGGGCAGCGACGCCTCAAATATCCTCACCATGTCAGAACCCATGTTCAAGCAGGCCAAGTCGTTCAACACCACCATTGTACCCGGCGCCGGGCATGGACTCAACTTTGGCTACTCGCACACAGTCACATATCAAGACATGCTAGACTTTCTCAAGGAAAAGCTATAAAAGTAAAAAAAAGTCATGCCAGGGGGGGACGCTTTTGAATTTATAGAGTGATGTGGTTGGGAAAGGATAATACATGAGCAACATGATTTGTGCAACGTTGAACGAGGCGGAATTGGATTCGTCGCCGATTTTGGTCGTCTTGGATGGGACAGAATGGATGCGTCAGTTTCGTTGCTGGGCCGGGGGTGCAATATTTGCCGGATTTGGTCTTTTTTTTTTGAAACCCAGCAACAATTAGTATATAAACCTTAATTCTAGTTCTCTTTACCGATACACGTCATGTTATACCTTGCAACATGTCTTGCCAGGATTGTCATACCCGATCTATCAGTAAGCTCTTGCCCAGGGATTGTCATACCTAATCCTAGCCCATCTGATCCATGCACCACATCAAGATCAAGATCTACAGATCCGACCTAGATGGCGTTACACAAACTAGGGGCCATGGCGTTGCAACGGTTCCATAAAAGTCGTACAAACAAGCGAGACAAAATTTGAATCAAACGCTCATGTTAAATTAAAAATGCCATCGTAAACTGGGTACGTGGTCTTCATCGCTGTGCTAGTGCTATGCCATAATTCCCATGCGCAAAAGAAAGTATATATAGGCCCCTTAGACAGCTTGGTGCCCCGTCTGTACTCGTGATGCCTTTTCATTTGTACCATCTGGCTGCGCCACTGTCTCGAGTGGTATGTCGGTTTGCATTTGTCGAGCCTCGTCGTCCAGCCGCATCTGTCGCTCCTGTTCAATCTGATAGGCGTCTTGCGGGCTACGTGTGGGAATCTTCCCAAACTGACGAAGAGGCATACCGCTTGCGAATAATTGATCAACCTCTTCTAGTGTCCGCCCTTTGAGCTCAGGGATGAAAAAGTACGTAGCAACAATCATGATGAGGCTCGTAGATCCGTAAATATAGCCAACCCGCGCACCGAGGTTGGCAAACTTGTCAGAAATGAGGTATGGGATCGTGAACGAAGTGACAAAAGTGGTCAGGACGGATATCACGCAGGCGAAAAGATTCGTCTTTTCGCGAACCCGCTGCGCCGCAATCTCCGACACGACAATAAAAGACACAGGGGCCCATGAAAGGTTGTAGAAAAAGTAGAAAAGCATGAGACAAGCTACCATGAGGTTTGTCATGGCTGGGCTTCTATTGTCTTCGTGGATGCTGCCGACACTTCCAAAGATGAAGAAGAAGACTGCCATGAAAGTGCCGCCAAGTAAAAGAACAGGTCTGCGGCCGGTCGAGTCGACAAAGAGCCATGTGATCATAACAGCGAGCAAACTAATAACGCTGTTAAGGACATTGAAGAGGAATGCAGATGTTCCAAAGCCCTGCGACTGGTAAAAGACGACGGCGTATTGCGAGGCAAAGGCCTGGCCAGTAATTTGCTGACCAAACATGGCAAGGGTGGCGACGGCGGTGCGTAAACGGTTTTCTGGGCCAAACACTTCCGACCAAGTTCCCTGATTCTCTCGATTGTGAGAAAGGGCAATGCCGTCTAGCTCGACGGCGACTTCTTCAAGAGTTGTCCTTTTGCGAAACTTGGCAAGACTCTCAATGGCCTCTTCGCGCCGACCGCGGCTGAGAAGCCAACGAGGGGATTCCGGTAAAAAGTAGAGCATGCCGCAAAGCAGGCATGGGGCGATGAACTGAAGGCCAATGGGTATGCGCCAGCCGGCGGCACTATTCATCGTCTCGGTGCCGTATGTGACCAAAGTGGAAATGACTTGGCCAAAGAGTACCATGGCCTGTATTGTAGAGCCAAACATGCCACGAAGGACGCGGGGCGAGGCTTCAGCTTGGAAGATGGGGACGACAACAATGGTCATGCCCGTCATGGCAAAGGTGAAGATGCGGCCGACGGTGAATTGAGCGGCCGAAGCGGCCGTAGTTTGGAGGGTAACGCCACTGTCCAGTTAGAAGTGAGCTGGAAAAGGGCGTTGGAGGGAACGAGGTAAAAAGGGAGGGCTGTGGTAATTGATCAAAGGCTTACATGAATGACAAGATGCAGAGACCGAAAATGGCGAATTTGCGACCGCGTTTCTCGGCAATTGGTCCGCAAATGACACAGCCAACAGCTTTTCCGAGAAAGGGAGTGGCAGTCATGACGGAGAGGAGCCATGCGGGTATTGCAAAGACGTTTTTCTTCTCGTTGTATTCGCCGAAGCGCCGGGAAAAACTGTGCATGCCTTGGACGCCGCTAAAAGTGCCGACATCAAAGCCATAGTTGAAGGCGCATAGCGCCATGTATCTAAAGGGTGATTAGATTCGAGTCCGCAAGTGAGGCGGGAAGGGAAACCAACAGCATGAAAAAGACTAGCATGCCATTGAAATGCTTGAAGCGGTCTATCGTCTTCATTGGTGGTGGGAGATGCATATTGGCAGGCCCATGGCTGTCGCTTTCGTCGTCGTCGGCAAGCTTAGAGCCGGGAGAGGGGCGAATGTCGTCGGCTGGGGTATAGACGGACTCGGAGGCGGGTGAGGCGGGTGAGGGAAGTGGAAGAGCGTGATCGAGATTGGGTGAAGGTGTAGCCGGCGTAGAAGGCGAATGTGGTGACTGCGAGGGTGAATGTGACGGTGCCTGTGTGGGAGCCTTCATGGCGATGGAGACGCTCTCGAAGCAGAGCGCCTCTAGAGAGAATAAAGGGTGGCGAAGCCGAACTAGCGAGGACTGCAGCGATGGGTATTCGGAAATTGAGATGGTGGCGCCAGATGCATGACAACGGGACGATATAAATGAGGTTCAGAACATGCTCGCGGAAAAGTGAATTGGGGCGGCGGCCGAGTCGGGAGGAGCAACGTCTATGTCGCGAGCTGTGGGTGAAGAATGCGGCGATAAGATACGGGAGGTTTGCAGTATGAGGCGACAGGGAGGTGCCGGAATTGTGAGAAGGCGCCGAGAATGCCAAGTCGAGCGATGATGCCAAGTCAAGGGATGATTCAAGCGATGACTGGAGCAATGAATGGAGCAGATCCAGCAATGATTCAAGCAATGTTCCGAGCAATAATGACGGAGGAAATTGACTGTCGGGGAAGGAAGGAGCTGGCTGCCGCGGGGTCAAACGTTGACGTTGTACAAGAAAGAAAGGAAGGGGTGGGAAAGAGTTTATGTGGTAGAAAGTTGAGAAAGAGTGAAGACGAAAAATGACGAAAAAGACGAGATCAAATCAATAGCGCGGATGGCGCATCGTCGAGACCCAAGTCGTGGTGGTGGAGGGACTGAGTCGTGGCGAGTGTGCAAGTGCCGGGGGTACGGGCCAATGAGGTCAAGGCCAAGAAGCCAAGACGTTTTTTATTTTTCGGTTCTTTTTTGGTTTTTTGGGGGGGGGGTTTTTTTTAATAGTCTTTTTGGTTATAGCTTGAGAATAACGTTGGTGGCGCAAATGATCGAGGCCCTTTTTTTGGGGTCCCAGAAATTTGGGCGTTTGCTTGGCGGGCGGAGGCTATCCTATCCGTAGTTACTCGGACCAGTCAGTATTGCGGGCGGCGACGGCGCAGGAATGAAATGGTCAGTAATCTGTAGTTGAATGTCAACTAATGTATTCGTAGTGCTCCTGAGCAGAGGTGTAGCGTCGTTGCGTGGTGATCACTGGTGGGAGACCGAGCTGATGAGGACGACGATGATGATGATGATGGTGATTATGATGATGGGGGGATGCGCGATAATGTGTGTACATGTATTAAAAAGTCTATGATGAAAGCCAATGGGAGCAATCGTTTGTAGTGAAAAAAAAGTCGAAAAGTGGCCAAGGTGAGAGGGGGGAAGAAAGAGATAGAGAAAGAGAGGGACTATGGAGATTTGGCTAATAATAACTTTGGCTTTGGAGCTGGAGCTGGGTCCTTGTGAGCAATGAGGAAGGTGCGACTTTTACGACCAGTACCTGCCTAGACAAAACGACTCAAAATACGACGAACCAATTTTGCATTTTGCATGTAGAATTGCATGAAATAGACGTCACAAAAAAGGAAAAAAAATAGAGAGGAAAATAGAGAAGTTTAAAAAAGAAGGTTAGATCAAAACTGGTAGAGTCCTGACGACCAATTGCGACAGAGTCAAGGTTCTAGGTGGATTCGGTGGCATGGATGCGCGACCGACTCACGACTGCACTAGGTGGGTAAATGGTGACACTGGTGACATTGCATCGTCAGGGTCAGGGTCAGGCATCAAGCATCGAGACAAAGGAGAAAAAGACGATGAAAAAGATCCGTACTGGTGAAAGAGGCGTCTGCCTAATCTCGACTGGCGTCTTCATCTTCAATCACCGAAACCAGTCCCGGCTGACCCTGCCGCACACGTGTGTCCCAGAGCAGCTATTGCCGAGCCAATGGCATGTTGCAGTCTAAATACTTGACCTTGTTATTCTTCGTTTCTCTCCTTCTTTCATTTTTTCTTTCCATTCTACATCGTTTGTTTCTCTCCAATCTTTCTCTTCCAAACATCTTACTTGTTTGAATTCCCCTTCCATATTTGTTACCTGATTCAATCCCGCTCTCAATCATGCCATTATTTTTTAACTTTGCGCCACAGCATGTCATGTCTCCCTCAGGGCGGCCTACGCCCGCTATCATGGAAATCGACCGAGGCAACCTCTTCCATCAGCCCCAAAGCTAAAATTTAGACGAGAGCTGTCAAAAATGGCTTCGAGGCCTTTTTCCCCCCGCTGGCCGCTACCGAGCCGCCTCGAGTAAAAGAGCGGGGTTCCTCTAGCACTGTCACCCTGCATGCCGGCATGGACGGTCGCACGACAGCCTGTCTCGGTGAGTTTAAATAAAAACAAGGCCACAAGAGGGTCAGTCACCTTAATCACAAGAGGTAATCGCCTCACTGTCTCGTTCGATATTTTTCGTACAAGAGACAACTTTTGGCAACACAAAACCGTATCCACATCTTCGTGAGGCGACTCTCGTGTCATCGGTGGAGCAGCCGCCGCTTCTGCCAATACGACGACAAAAACAGCACTCAAACTGCTCTTTCCGCAACAGAATCAATTGAATTAGATAATCAAATCGTCTAATAATGTAAAAAAATCAACCCTGAAGAAACACATGGTCCATCCCCTTAACCCCTCCACCTCCACACATGCCCGCCGGAGTGGATATCCTCACAAACCGTTAAAGTGGTTCTGCCAACCACAGACCATTGGGAACCAGCACCTCAACACTTGGCGCCTCGCTGTCTCGTCTTGTCTCGACACAGCCTTTTTTGCTTCAGCCTGGATCGAGCTGGCAGCCCTGCTGCACGAATCGTTTGCTAGATCTCATCGTCTTTTGCCACTTTTCAAAAACAGTACGAGATTGGAATAAACAAAGAAAAAAGAAAAATAACAATCAATGCCCAATGTAATCTGTAATACGGATCAGCCATCCTCATCTACCGCCACCAACTGTGCTTCCCCCCCCTCCCCACTAACCTTGTTGCACTGTTGCTGCACAGTGGAGAAGCTTTCACCTGGAAACCTATCAAATCGTCAGCTCCATTCCCTCGTTTTCGATAGCCCCCAGCTCTGTCCGAATCACCCAATAAAAAGAAAATACTCGACAAATAAATAACCAAAAATGCATTGATCACCTGCACTCGAGAAGCAATATTTCCCATGTGGCTTTTTTTGACAATCTGCCCCTCATTCCGGCTCATCATTTCGCGAGAAAAACTACCGGCGACATGGCCACCCACTAAGATCTTGGTTTGGGAGGCTGAGACCACACGCACCACACCGAGCGCCAAGAGTCATGTTTTGGATAAATTCGACACACTTTTAGGGGGATCCGGTCCGGTTTTCCTCCCCAAAAAGACGGAACAAGCCATCGCACCAATTCCTCTTCCTAGCAGGTACCGACCGCGCTGGCGTGGGCTGGCCTGCCAAGCTCGCAGGCCCGCCTCGAAGTAGGTACCGAACGCAGCAGGCCCGCCTGGAAGCAGGTAGGAACCGAGAGCATGCCACAGGCACAACAAGAACCAACCATTTCGAATTTTGCCTTTGCACTTAAAGCAACAACAACAACAACAACGCAACCTCTTCCCAGATTGCAAGCTGCCAGACAACATCGTTCCAGTGCGCCCGCACCAGCCGCCCGCCCGCCCTCCCGCGCCACCCGTAGGTCAGCGAGCCCATCGAAATCACCCAAGACCGCCAAGCCCACCACGGGGCTAGACTTCAGCCTCGACGAGACGAGATAAACAGCCGGCGATGCTGTCCAACTTGCGCACGTTTGCTTTCCAAGCTGAACCTGGTGTGGGCTGACCTTGGCCCACCCAGCCGCCACCTCAAATCAGCCCTGGCCGCTGCCGGCCCTGAATGAAGCACAGCCACAGATAGCTTTGAAAACCATCAAATCTCGCATCTTGTTTTTTGTATCTTTCAGAGAGGAGATAAAAACGAGGTTAAATCATCAGAAAACGTCTTTTGATCCAGATAGCATCTGCACCCCACGTCTAGTTTGATACTTTGTAGATCCCCCTGGCCCTTTCAAAGAGCGCCCGCACCGCACATCCGCCGAGACAGCCTTTCCTCTCGAGCACTCCAACCAAATTTCTTGCCACGATTAGGGAGGCAAGTAGGGAACCTGAATGGCAACCTCGTTATCTTGTAATCCGTAAGCCAATTACAAAAAATTGCATCAATTTCGTTTAAGCCACTTCCGTCCAAGTGACAAACAAAAGCCTCCGCCGCGCCGCCTGCCGGATCCAGTAAAGTCAGCACTTGAATTCTTCTTACATGCTTGTTAAAGTGCTTATTTTCTTCAGCAGCGTAAGATCATGCACGTTGCAGCCCCTATCCGAGATGAGATAATCATGATTGCGTGTAAAGCCACATGCAATATGGCTGGTCCCGAGTTGCAACCTGTACACCGATTTTATCGCAACCTTTGCGTTCCGCCTACTTCCGCCTTGACTTTGCATTACCATTGTCGACGGTGGAGGGTGAATTATGCCCGTAGGAGGCCGGACGCTGTTGCTCTTCAATTTGCTGTACGGACAGTCAGATACAAAACGCCATCATTGCATGCGTATCATCGAGCCACGGGGAGAAGCACTGTGGGCGCGTGCGCGCATAATACTACATATGCGGGGCGCAGTGAAGACTTGCAGTGCAAAAGAATTGTGGCCGCGAGCCAGATTTGTGATTGTACATCTAAATATTTGTCATTGCATCATTGACCAAGAAATAGATTCCTAGAGCCCTGTACGGCTCATTCAACGCCACTCTATGCGAATCCTGATAACAAAAGCTGTTGTGGTAAAAAGTTTGCTCCATCTCGAGCAGCGCCTCCAACTAATACTTTTTCAGCTGACCAATATGAGGCGCTGTCCACCCTCGATAAGCACGCAGCAGATGATTTCATGCATAAATCACAGTCGTCAGCCTCGAAAAATCGTCTTCCGCCCAGTCTCCTCCGGGCGCAGCTTGCGCGTGGCGCTGGGAGATCAATACGTTTTGCCATGGTTAGCCTCTTGGCACTGCTTACATGCCGTTGCTGGCGTGAAGCTACCATCAGGCAGCTAGGCATCAGATGTACCGGATTGGACACCTGCTTGGAGCTGGCTTCTCGTGGACGCCCCCAACTGCGCAGGCCAGACGCCAGCGTGGCCAGCTCCTCGTCATACGCCACAGCTCGTCTTGCACAAGCTGGCCTGCTTCAACTTGGAAGCATCACGTTGTCAAACGTAAACCAGGGAGAAAGATCTGGCATGTTCCAGGTAAGCAGGTTCGACATTTCGTCGGCCGTCTTGATGTAATCGTCAATAGAGGGCTGTAGCATGGCCCCATTCTGCGCCATGACGCCCGCAGATGGCATAATTTGTAAAGGCGGCCGCTGCGATGTCCCCGGTGTCATGGGGCCCATGCTGCCATCCATAGTCATTGGCATCATTCCACTGAATGGCGGAGCGTTGTGACTGTTTGCACTCCTCGGAGGCATGTTTCGGCTCGACTGCGTCATCGGCGACGGATATGCGTTTGACGACGACGACGTCCTGGGACTGTGCGACGTATGTGAAGCCCGTTGTAGCTCGGACCGTCCTCGTCGGAACGGTGCTAGCCGAGACAAGTGATGCATGTCAGCCGAGCCAGTAACTTCCGTCTCATCGGGCGCTTCTCCGCTTGGCGCAAATTTCTCGGCGATTTCCCGAAACCCAAACAGTGTGCAAATTGGAAGCAGTGCGCGGAGCACAGAATTTCGAGTCGCGGTATCGCGACTAAATGTTTGGAGACATTCAATGTTGGTACAGAGGTTTGACTTTGTCTGCTGAACGATAAACGGGCTGTGGTTGACGGTTGCGGCATATACAAGCTGTACTTTGGAGGACTCAAAAGCCGCGTCCACGCAGAACAAGTCATCACAAGCGCTTCGTCCCATATACAAAGCACGGCGAAAGAGTTGCGATACCTCAATAGCGTGATGTCGGCACAAATCCTGGCACTTGGTCTTGAAATCTTCTGGCGCAACCTTGAAATCGTTCGATAATGGAAAGTTGAATCCAGCCAGAGATGTTCGTGTCAGGTCGAATATGACTGCGTGCATGAGCAAATGCAGTACAAATACAGCTCCCAAGATATTGTCTTCTCTGAGAATGTACATGTTTATGTCGGTCATGTAATACTTTTCCGGGAGCTTGGCGAGGATGGTTTCGAGACGGTGGATGATTTGTAGAAACTTCGAATCATTGTCCCAGACCTTGCAGTCTTTTTCAGGGGTTCGGATGAGGCTGTTTCTGTCAGTGATGCTCACTTGACAAGATAAGTTTCGTTTACTTACTGCATGACTTTGGAACGAAGCCGTAGGATCAGGATCGAGAGTGCTTGAAAATCAAGATGCGGAACGACTTCTGACATGTCATTTTGCTCGATTTCTTCGAGAAAATATGGCTGCGACGCCGTCTGAGAAGTGAAATTTTGCTCGGGGCATGGTAAAGGAATCGAGGGGACGTCGTCCCGCCAGCAGAGGTTCTTTTCCACTCCGTTTCCGACAAGAACATCAAGGTAGTAGCATGCCCAAACAAGCCGAATCTCACTCTCTCTTTCCATAATTTCTGTAGGAGTGGCATTCACGTCCAAGGGTCGATACGAGTCCAAGCCCAGTAACCGGACCATGCGATATAGAACGGAAATGAGGACAAAGACCATGGCGTTTTTGTCCTCGCGGAGGCTGTAGTCGCATAGTAGCACCATGGTCTATTCACTTGTTAGAGTCGGATCAACATGAAAAAGGGGTCGTCCCGTCGTCATACCATGAGATTGTGTACATCGGGCGCATGAAGATCTCGCATGGCATCTTGTCTAGCCTTGACGGCCCATTTCTCGCCAGGTACTTGATTAGCGTCAACTACCATCTGCTCGCCGCATTCGGCAACATGATCGAAATATAAATGCCTGGATCAGGGTTAGTATTGTCGAATTCATGGCGCACAAGTTTAGAACAACGCACCGGGCCCCAAGTGCACACATGACGTAGAGCAAAGGTTCGCCATAGTCCTGCACGACACTATCTTGGTCCAGCGATTTCATGAATGATGGTCTATGGATGAAGGAGAGATTGCGCAGAGGGGCGGACCGATTGAAGTATGTTTTGATGAGTGTTTCGCGGAAACTGCGATTTTCCGGCAGCCGTTCCGAATAGACACCTGCAGGTTCCTGGGCCAAAACAGTGGGGAGAGCAGCCCGGGGTTTGGGGTTCTGCGGGGGCTGCATGTGCTGTTGGGGTTGCGGCGGTTGCGGTTGATACTGTGGAATATTCGGAAGTGATGGCGTTACTTGATAGCTATCGTGGGTCATGGGCTGGTGAGTATAATTGTTTAACCCATTCGGTGCAGCATTGGGATTGTACGCGTGGCCGTGTGTGCTTGGGGATTCTTGGTGATGACGCAGCTGGGGTAGCTGATACTGGGCATGCTGATAGTTCATCTGCAAGGGCTCCTCCGAAGGAACACTCTGGCGATTGAGAGGTTGAAACTGGCGTTGATCGGGTTCGGGCCGTATAGGATGCATGTCTATTGGAGTATAGGTATCGCGAGGCTCTTGCTTTGTCGGCGTGGTACCATGTGTTTGCTTGCCAGGAGATAGACTGCCACTGATGGAGGGCTCACGATCTTGTTTGCCGGGGTAGGTACATTTGAGGTTGCGCAAAATGCAGCGGCGACAGGCAGGACGGGTCTTTGTGCAGCGATGCTTGGATGCGCGGCATTCCTCGCAGGAGCCTACCTTGCGCTTCTCAACGCCCGCAGCGCGGAATATGTCGTCGGCGGATTTCTGCAGCTCTTTGCGAGATATGAATTCATTTTCGCGATCGTATCCGGGGCAGGGGACGCCAAGGCGCAAGCAGTTGCGGCAGTCGGGGAGGGACCTATCGCATCGGACCTGACAAGAGAGATGTTAGCAAGGATGGCTCTTTCTTTCTTGATTTCATGTATTCTTTCTTGGGCCTTGGCAATACAATGAAGTAACGTCGAGGCTCAGCGGGGTGATGAGGCCGCGGAGGACAAGATCGGACGGTCGGGGTGACGACATACCTTGCGAGAGCGACATATGAGGCAGGCTACAGGGGAGATGATAGGAACCATGTCAGTAAAGTACAGGAGCAAGAAGCGAAATAAATCAAGGAAGAAGAAAGGCCGGTAATAAATGGGAGCGGATCTTGTTGTGAGATTTCTGGGGCACTGACCGATATCAGACTTGGGACCGTCGTTGGAGGCTGCGGCTGTCGCAGCCTGTTCTGTAGGCTCAACGGCGGTCGCAGGCATGATGGTGGGCGCGGCAATCAAGCTTGAGGCGGGCTGGACGCGAAAATGAGATGAGGTGCAGGCGGGCTGAAGAATGCGACCGGACGAGTTAGAGGTTCATGATCGAGGGCGCCGACGGGAAAGGGGAGGCATGGTCGAGCAAAAAGAGGCCGACAGAGAGTGAAGAAAAAAGTAAAGGCAGAAATGTGTTTGAGCGACGGAGGTAGGTCGTAAGAACGGAGGAGTGGCGGGCGACCCGGGGCGAGTCAGCTTCTTGAGCGGCGGGCTAGCAGGCGTGAGCAGTCAAAGGCAGACGACTCGTGCCTAGGTAGGTAGGTAGGTAGGTAAAAGCGAAAAAGCAGACTCGTAGAGTGGGCGGCGGCCAGAAGCATCCGGCTACCGGGCGATGCCACTAGTCAACGAGTCTCGTGGCTCGACAGGTTGACAATTGGAGGGTTTGCCAATATTTAGTCGAGGCAGGCGCGGACGATTGGCGATGGTGAGGGTGAGAGTGAGGGTTGAATAGGTTATTTGGTTGGATACCTAGGCTGAACGGTGGTGGATGGCCGATGGGTTAATGGGCTGGCCGGATGGGTTTGTTGGTGGATTACTCAGTATCGAGTGGATGTGGTGGATGAGTGGCCGTATGCGGGCTTTTGGTGTGGCACCTGTGTCTGTGTGTAGGCGGCGCGGAGGAGCTGAGCCAGGTTTGATGGTAGAAAAAGGCAGGTGGACTATTGAAAGCCTGGCTCGTTTCTTTTTCCTCTGCGGCAATTATCCAAGCAGCTCTACTTTTTAGAGGCTAGAGCGGGCAACCGAGAGGCTCTTGTCGGAACAAAGGCCAATGCCGTTTGCACGCGTATCTCGAGGGTGGCCACAGAGTGAGGAGCTAATCGCAGGCGGGACCTGGAGGGGAAGAGGGCATTGGCGACGAACGGGTGGATAGGTAGCCTTGTAAATATCGATAAAATGGGAGCGCGCTCCAGTAATAAGAGAGCCAAGACGAAATTACCTACCTGCCTACGCAAAGACACCCTAAATAGACAGCCACGTCGATTCGATGGAAGGAATATGGGGTTGATAATGGGGTGTTGATGGGGTGCTGATGGGTTGTTGATGGGTTGTGGATGGGGTCACTGGGGGGGTTGATGAGCGTGGATAAATTCAACGTTCGGGGTGAAGCTTGTTTGCTAAGTAAATCTTGGCCAAGGCAAGACGAAGCAGGATAGCGAGAGGCGGCACACAGAAATCTGACAGGCTGGGGCGGGTGGCGGGCGCTGACTGGTGTTGTGGCTTGCGCTCAAGGATGCTGGCGGAAGGCTTTAGGGCCGTCGGCAGCAGGTGAGAGGTTTGGCTTGCGATTTGCGCTGGCAAGACGCACTAATAAAGATGATTAGCGCAGCAAGGAAATCTCGCCCGTGATGAAATTCATTATTAGTCCATCAGAAATCTCCCTTTGCATATGCTTGCATATGGAGGAATATATTACTGGGCACCGAGTTACGGAGTACATATATGCGATATATGCGTGGGTAGGTATTTACTGGGGAGCATTGTCAGCCAAGCGCCGTAACTAAATTTACTGCATGAGCGATAAGATGGGCCGGGGCCCTCTTGCAGCTGTCAACTACTCTTAAATCCAAGCTAATAGTTACTTTGATAGTTACTGGTCGGCATCCTCGGCGTAGCGCACAGCCAACAAAGCGTTTCGATATTTCATTTGTCGCGGCGCTGACGGCGCGTATTTTCCAGCCACACAAATACCTACCTACCGACCTAGGTTTACTGATACATACAGCCTGCTTGCCCGACAACCCGCATATCCAACTACAGGGCACATCCATCTCGTCCGTCTTGACGGATACTCCGTACCGGGCTGCACGTACTGATACTGACCCCGCCACGCCCGCCACCGAGGTTCAACAGTGGATACCGGCAGATCCCAACTGGGGCTAGCGTGTCACCACGGAACCTTGCAGTTCGTACTGGGTAGCACTGGGCTGTTGATTCAGCACAGACTTGTCTTCGGAATGTGACGGTAGAAAAAAAAGGCCATCAGCTGTAATGTTCAATGATTGTTGCGGCCTCTGAAATTTGTAGGGAAAAAAATCACATGATTATACTCATTATCAATGCAGATGGACCAATTTGCTTCTGCCAGTCAAGACAAAACTCTCTCTTCTCTCGTCGCTCCACCAAACCATCCCATTTTGGCCTAGGTAATCTATTGACCTCCAGCGTTCTCACTGTCACCGAGTCCACTCCCTCCCGCCTCCTTCTCCTCTCACGGCCTTTCAATAAACCATAATGCCAATTCCACTGATACGCAAGAGGAAAGGATGCGCCCCAGTTTCGCACAGAGCTTCTCTTCATCTCATCGCTTCGGTCTCTGTCCGTCAACAGTTGACAGTTTGACCTTGCTCACCGACATGACGTCGTACGACGTTTCCCAAAGGAAAAAGGTGAAGAAAAAAAATGAAGCAGAAGAAGAAGAAGAAAATAAAAGTGACCGAGACACGCAAAACGAGTATCGTATCAGTGTCCAATCCCAAACAATTTCCAACGCGCTAATCAAGACTCCCTATCCTAGCCCGTACAAGCCTCCCCTGGACGTACAGCAAGATGCATGACACCATGGATCATGTCCTCAATTCCTCACGCAATCTTGTCAGACAGGTTGTGGTGCCATATCCCAAAAAAAAAAAAAATAAGCGAATAATGTGGGCAACTCGCTGACGATTCTGCATGCGCGACGCCCACTTGCGATATGCAAGTCGGAAAGCAACACATCAGACAAGCCATTGCTGTCTGTTGGCGGTCACGCTCATTCCTTTTAGCAGATTTTTCTCGAGTCACCCAACACTCTCATCGTCATGTTCCCCAAACCACTATCGCCTCCTGACCAAGCCCGCCGTCGCTCTCAGCCCTCCCCATGATACCCCCCCTCCCACATCGAGCTCATGACGTGGGCTGCCGCTCCATCTCCTGCGTGGCGTCTTTTGGCTCCCCACCACCGCGATGGTTGCTTATTGCTGGTCTTTCTACTTCTCCACGCAGGTGAGTGAGTGGGCGACAGAAGCAAATCACCAGGAATGAGAAGCGCATCCGAGCGGCCACCGCTTCCAAGGGTCCTTCCAGGGCACTTAGTTCATCATGTGCCTCGCGGCATGCAAGTACATACCACCACCGCTTCTGCCAAGCCGATTCGGCGCTGTCTGTCGGTTGGGCCCTTTTTTGCATCTTTGCTTTTTGAAGCGAACTTGTTTTGTGGTGCACATGAACTGTCGCTGATTCACCCAAAGGAGCTTGTTGCCGAGCTTCTTGAGCACGTGCCCCAGATGTCGTAAAATCTCGTACTCTGCTGCTTTCTCCTGCTTTGCCAAGGTTGACGATCCCAGTTCATGTTTGAAACCCCGCCCCTCCTCCAAGGAGCTTATTCCTCACCTTATTTTTCTGACTCCTGTTTCGAAGATGCCCACGTTTGGCCCCCTCTCGAGGTTTCGCACGCAAAGCGGCATGAAATTCTCGGCCAGCCCTATCTCATAAATGTGCTCAAGTGTAGCAGATCTCTGCCAATCCAATCCCACACCAGGTACAGTCGTGAAATTCGGCGTATCGGCGTTGCCGACGGATAATATCATCCCTCTTTCGATATCTATGACCCAACAAAGTCAATCCAATGTCTTGCGATGTTTGTCCACTTCCTTTATAAGGCGATGATTCTAGTATTGATACACCCCGCACCTACCAACACCGTCAGACAGCACATTGCTTCAAGCTGCATTGTTTGAGTGGACAGCGATCCATCTATCAATTTAGTGTTACACAGTAAACAGAGTCCATTGGGGGTTGCCAGCTGCCAGCTGCCAGGTAGCTACCTTACATTCCATGCTACCTTGGTATCTATTACCTACCTAGCTATAGACAGGCAAAATTATGCAGTGCAAGGTAATCTCTGGCAAGTTACCCGCTGCCTGCATGCAAGGCATGAAAGGCACAGTCAATTGTAGAAGCGTCAAGACCAACACAATGGGGCCGACGGGTGGACGAGCAATTGTGTCTCGGCTCATACCATGAGTCTATGGCCAGACTGCATTTTTCAGGGTCTGGTTTCTTCTTTCTTGTCATTTTCCTCTAGAGGTTCCTCGACTGCTTCTCCGCCAATGAAATTGACCGTCTCCCCATCGGGGCCAACCTCATCACCAGTGGCAGAGTTCCAGTTGCCAGTAATTCATCAACTGCGGATCAGAGCCGGGCCGAGACCTCTTCAACCCCATACGCACTATCGAATATTTGCTCCTATATATGTCGACCCCATTCGAAGAGCTTTTTCAGCTCCTTCATCGTCTCGACCCATTCCATGAGCTTTTTTCAGCTCTTTCAACGCGTCTCTTCCTCCAGCCACTGCCACAAGCTGGTCAGTCGACTTTCTTGCTCAGAGTATTTATCGCCTGCACACGTCAGCCATATTTACGAAGTCTTTGAAGCATCCCAAGACTCTGGCAAAGAGACTCCATATCCAGACCAAATGGAGAGAGCAGAAACACGGGCCGCCAAAATACTGCATGAAGCAGTATTGATGACCAGTTATTTGCGCTGGCTTAGATGAAACTTTTTTCAGTCCTCACGGAAAAGGAAAACAAAAACCCCACGGTGAATTCTCGTATTACTCGAGTGTCTGTACTACTCTGGGCCCTTTGACCAGGCTTTCATGAACCAAATGCCGTACCTTCCCCTTCTCGTTGGTACATGAATTTTGGTTTCTCGATCCCTACATTACATTCCCCATGAGAAGCCAGTTCATCCCAGCCCATTCCCATCCCTGCGATTAGACTTTCGGGGTCTTGAATGTGACCTGCTCGGCTGCGTCATTCTTGACGGCTTCAAAGTCGGCCGACGTGAGATTACGGCCCCTGTCATACATGCAGTGGGACAAGCAGTAGCTGTTTTCCTGCTCGGGACTGTCCCGGATAATCTTGTCGCATTTGATTGGCGTGTCTTTACGCAGCTCGCACTGCTTAAACTTGCTATCCTTGACACAGCCACAGGTGTACTGGACCCTGCTCACGCTACACATGGCGGAGGAACTGGTGAGGTTTGTGTGTGATGAAAGTTGAGGTGACAGAGTCTTCAAAACGGCTATTGGGGGTCGATTGAGTGATATTGATGTTTTTTTTGTGAAGGTCGGTTCAGGGTTGGCGAGATGTAGGAGTATCTATCTAGCTTTGGTGCTGTTCACGGCTGCTGTCTACCGAATTGTATTGGAGATGCAGCGTCAAAATTTGGCAGGGTACTCCGCTGACGCTGCCATTGGCTGATTACGCGCCCAACAAGCCACCTTTGCTTCTTTTTTCAGAACAAGGTCCTTTCAAGCCCATCATACTTTTGTACATGTTAAAGACTCTCAGATTTACTCATCTTTGATTTTGTTCATTTCGTTAGTAAGTGTTATTGCTGGAGTCACTTTTCTCAAGAAGTGGTTAGTCGGCTACCCTACAGTAAGGCAAAAACAACACCCAAGAAGGCAAAGACAACACCAAAGAAGGCAAAGACAAGAGAATCTTGATCATGTTATTAATCTATATTTTTTTTATTCTAGTTTTATCTTCCTCATCTACTGGAGAAGCTTCTTGTACTGCTCCAGAACAAACTCGTCAGAGCTGTGGCCCAGACCCAGCAGCTCATTGTCCGACTTTTCAAAGTTGCCACCGTAGCCGGGAGACACAAAGGACTTGTGGATAAAAGGGGCAATGTTGTCAAAGGTGAAGAGGCCCTTGGCCAGGTTCTCGCCGGCTACCTTGACAAGGTCGTCGACCTTGACGTAGCTGACCTCCCAGGGCTTCTCCGGGGCTGCCTTCTTGGCGAGCTCGAGCAGGCGCTGCTGGGAGATTTTAATGTCCTCGAGGAAGACGGCGCGGTTCTTGGTCTCGTCGAGATGGTCGAGAATGCCGACGAGCGCGCTGCCGACCGTGTCCAGGTTTGTGGCGCTAAAGAGGGCCTTGCCGTCGTCGAGCAGGCGCGGCTTGTAGTCGGCGACGCTGAGCACAAACTGGTTCTGGATGCCCCAGTCGAGAAAGGGCCCGTTGTAGACAAACGTGTACGAGATGCGGCCCGCGGCGGCGCGCTCCTTGAGGTACTCTTGAATCTTGATCTTTTCGCCAAAGACGGGAATCTGGCGCGCGAGGGCATTGTCGAGGTTGCAGCCAAACTCGCTGGGCAGGAAGCGCTTGACGCCGGCGGCGACGGCGGCGTCGACGAGCGTGGTTTGCAGGGCGGCCACGTCGGCGGGCAGCGTGGAGATGACGACGTCCTGGCCCTGCAGGGCGCGGGTCAGGGCGTCGGCCGAGGAAAAGTCCACGTCGACGACCTTGACCGAGGCAGGGTAGGTCGACTTGGAGCCGAGGCGGCGCAGCACCTGGAGGTTGTGTCGCGAGGCGGAGAGCTTGTCGAGGGCAATGGAGCCGACGTTGCCAGTGGCGCCGACAAGGGTGACGTTTTGGACTGGGGTAGACATGACGTGGATGGCTCGAGATGCTTGCGTAATGTTGTTGGAATGGTGGATTGTCTGTGTGTGTGGGAAGTTGGGATAATAAGATGCTATTGGAGTGGTATAGTTGGTTGAGTTGGAAGTGTGTTGGTACTGAATGAAGATGGACAGGACTTGGGGGGGAATCTTGCACGATTTATATAGATAGTTTTTACAACAAACAAAAGTATGTCAGCTAGATAGACAAATATTACGACATATTCGCGACAAGTTTCGGGAGGTGCGTGCCTAAACCGGGTGGTGCCTCCTCCTGGACCGTCCGCCGTTGGCGACCCGGGCTGGGGGGGCTTGTCCGCTCCCGCAAGGCTGGACGGTAAATTATGAAAGGGCATTTCTAAACCGCCCGTTGTAGCGGACCTCCCGGGGGTGGGATCGCCGAACTGATTATGGATCACAAAAGCCGGGCTTGCGCGTTCATCAAATCGACGCTAGCCGTGCACGTTGGCAGCCCCGATTTGATTCCAGATAAAGACTTTACCGCTAACTCCGTAATTTGTCTTTTTGCCTTTGCCTTGTGGTTTATGGCCCGTGGGCATCTCCGCAGTTAATACTCGGTTACGCGTCAACTCTACCTTGTAGGGCAGTGTTACTGGCACCACAATGGCGCCATCTGCGACAGACTTTGTAACAGCGGCCAGCAGATTTCGCCTAGGGTCGGACTTGGCTCAATCCCATTTGGTGTTTTTCCTTTTGTTTTGCACAAGCTCAGGGGCGGGGCAATTTTTTGTTTGAATGATCTGTAAAGATGATGATGATGCCCTGCCCACTGGGCTGAGCTTGCATTGGCAGAATTAAGAAATTTTGATGCCCTGTTTAGTTATAATTGCAACTCTTATATCCAAGGTTCGGCTTTATGCCTTGCAAGATTAGACAACATGGTGTTGCTCTTGTCTCCGATTACTTGGGCTGTGACCGGCGTTATTTTCTCTTGGGTGTAATGTAATACCAGCTGTGTCATGTTGCCTGTCTATTTTGCTGACATGTGATGGACAAGAGGCCATCACAACTCCCCGTTTTGATCTCAGTGGGCTAACTAACTAGCCAAAAGGTACTGTAGTTACTGTAGTTGGACAAAGAGGAGCACAGCAACAAACAATGTGTTTCCACAAGGGGCCTGATACAGTCAAGGACTGCTTCAATCTATCCAGATGCAGAAAAATTTCTGCTCGAATTTACCCTGACGCTAATTCGTAAAAGGTCTAGCGCATGCCTTGCTCTAATTGAAAAGGGCAAGTCATGTGGGATGGCCGACAAAAACGTTCGGTCATCCCACTCCATCTCAGCAATACACTCAACTTCTTCAACGCACCAGCCAGGGCGGCTTAGAAAGACGACGAGGCATGCCAATGCTTAAAACCGTTTATTGCGAATGGTACCGTGTCATGATGAAAACCCCCATCATTCTCTTCTCATCTTTACTATTCATAATAAAAAAGCCCCCTTGAATTTTTGAGCGTTTTCTTTCTTTTTTTTTTAATTCTTTTTCCGACTTGTCAAGTTGCGACAAATCGAATTGTCTTGTTCCTTTCGACTATCCCGCAGTCGTCATCCCACAAAGCTGGGTCTTACGGTCAGCCACCGCCGTGCAGCCGTGCAGCCGTGCTTTGCAACTCGGATATCAGGTGCCGCCGTCATCTGACCCTATCTAATTTGCAAGGGGACAAGCTGCAGCTTTTCTCGGAACTGCAAAGCCATGGCGGAAAGCCCTGTCCCTGTTAGGAAGCAGTTTGTGTGCGAGTGTGGTCGTGAGTACATTCGCAAAGAGCATCTGCAGCGCCACAAAGCCACACACGGTCGGCCATCCTTTACTTGCTCTGCCTGCGACAGATCCTTTACCCGCCTGTAAGTCTTTTCTGCCCACTCACAACAAACAACCACAACAACAACGACGACAACGACGCCCGCGCGGCTCTCGGCAACTTTTTTTTTCCCTTTCTTTTTTTAGAAAAGCCACACCCATCTATGCAAGGCTATCGTCGATCCTCGCTAATCACAACTCCTTTAGTGATTTACTCCGGCGCCATTCAAAAATCCACGGTGCCGTGGTACCCGACTCCCGCAAGGAACCCGCCTGCGATGCCTGCCACGCCAGCAAGATCAAGTGTGATGGCGGCAGCCGATGCTCCCTCTGTCGCAAGCGCGACATTGAGTGTACCTATCAGCGCGCCAACCTCGCTCGCCGGGTCATTGATGCCAATCCCGACGTCGTCTTTGATCTCAGCGGTGGCAACTTTTCCGCCAACCAGGCACCCTCAACCACTACTACCAGCAACCACGGCCCGCCTAGGAGGACAAACTCGGCTGCTGCCCGCAGCGTGCGAGCAACCAGCCAGGGCAGCTCTGCGAGCGATGCCTCGCCGCCGCCCATGTTCACGCCGCCGACAAACGTCTCGCCTCTCGAGGCCTCCTGGAATGAGCGCACAAGGGCTGGCACGCGAGTCATTGCCCATGCCATGGGCGTGCTCCGTGACGGAGGCGAGAGCGACGCCCTGTCAAATCCCTCGCCAAAGATGAAGGAGTGGCTGGATGACTGCTTTCAGTCGTATTTTGGCCAATTTCACGAGACATGGCCCATACTACACGCGCCGCAGTTTGATGATCCTGTTGAATCTGTACCGCTGGCCGCCTCTATTGCCATTATTGGGGCCTGGCGCCAAGTCACTGACCCGGGCGCCTTGCAAATGATTTTTGCTATTCATCAAATTTTGATGCAGTATTTATTTGCACAGCTAGTGAGTCACTTACTGTAGTACAGCATTCGCCGAGAAACAGCTAACCTGTGCCGGCAGACGCGCTTTACATTCGATGCAAGCCAGCCTTGGCCTCTTGCAGTATATCAGGCTGGTCTACTCAATGCCATATTTGCCTTTGAGATTGGGGTATGTACACATTCCAAAAAAACAAAAAAAAAATCCATTTACACTTGCTGACATGTCATAGAAGTGGTCCTTTATACCAAGAGGTAGAATGTTGCATGTGGCGGTAGCAACCATTCTGCGACAAACAAACATGTTTAATAGCGAAAGCGCCATACACCATCAACGGAGGCATTATCCAAGCAACTATATGCCCTGGATTTACGAAAAACATGAGTCTTGGAAACGGTTCGTATCATGTCAAATATCCCCGACGTGATGCAGACATTGTACTGACTGCAGCAGGTTGGCCATGAGCACCCTGAAGCTGGACCGCGACATTGCGCTTCTCTACAACCAATCAGCCTTTATCCACAACGAAGAGCTCAATCTGCAGCTTGCCTCTTCATTCGGCATGTGGAACGCACACGGGCTCCACATACTGTACCGACGCGTGCCGCGCGAGATGAGCCAGCGGCAAGACTACAGAATCTCGCAGCTCATGAACATGACGGACGCCAACCTCTCGTTCCCGCTGCTGGCCGAGGACGTGGAGCTCGTGCTCCTGGGCGCGGCCAACCACGTGTGGACCTACCGACGGCAGTGCAGCGCGGCGGCGGCGACGGCGGCACCGGCACCAGCAGACCTGGCCGGGCAGCGCATCCACATCATGATGCAGCTGGAGCTGTGCAAGCACCAGCTGAACCGCATGTACGGGGTGCAGAGCTTCCCCAAGAACCACGCGGCGGAACTCGAAGTCATGCTGGCGGCTTACTACGGGCGCGAGGAGGAGGAGACGAGTCCCGTGCTGCTGGCCGAGGCGATGCGGCGCTTCTCGCAGGCCACGTTCAACGCGGCCATGCTGCACAGCGTCCTCGAGCTGCACATGTGCGCCGACGTGCAGCAGCTCGTCGACGTCACCTCGGGCCTGTACGAGGGCGACGAGCTCTACACGGAGATGATGCTGCGCAAGCAGGCCCGCATCGCCGAGTGGGTGGTGAGCATTGACGGCCGCTCCGCCGTCATCCGCGCCCTCACCATTCTGCGCCTCTACGAGGAGCACATTGCCGCCGCAGGCGCCGGCGCCGGCGCCGGCAACGACTCCCTCCGCTGCCGCAGCAAGAGCATTGATCCGATTGCGCATATTGGCCTGCTGGCCGCGTCCGTCGTGGCGCGCGCATGGGTCGAGGGCGCTCTTCAGGGCGGCTGCATATGCGGCGCTGCCGTGCCAGCGCTGGAGATTGGCGGCTTGCCGGGCTTACCCGACGACGGGCCGGCCTTTTCGTCTTGGAAGGCGACGGGTGGGCGGCTGCAGTATAACGGCGTCGCGCTGTGCGGCTGCAATTTGATGAGCTGGCGGGACCGATTTGCTAGGGGCTTGCCAGAGGGAGGCTGGGGACAGCGCATGGATAGAAACTGGCCGCTGCTGTAGATGTATATATATTTTGTACATGTTACTATACTATAAGCGAGTAAAATAAGAGGAAATGAATGAATGATTTCTTTAAAAAAAACAAGGAAAGAAAGAAACAAAAAACTGCTAGTCTCAAGTGGCGGCGCACTGTCGTCTTGCCTCGGGGTCGTGGTGCAAGATTGCGGGGGAAACGCTGCAGAGGAAGCTGCACCACCACCACCACCACCACGACGAATATTTTCTTTAGCATCCTGCCATCTTGAAACCTCAAGACTAAAGGAGAAAGAAGAAAGAAGAAAGGGAAAAAAAAGAAGAAAAAAAAAAAAAAAGAACGCCGAATAGTTACGTGATCGTGAGCCACTTGCGCCGTGTTGTCATTAGTGGACTCGATCCCGGCCTAGCGCCGCGCCACGTCTGTCTTGTCTGACAACCGTCATTTTTTTTTTTCTCCCATTCTTTTCAAAAGGTTCTTTTTTTTTTTTTTGCTGACACCAACTCGCATTCTCTCCCTCGTACATCAAAAAAGTCGCGCATTTGTGATTAGGAAAGAAAAAGTAGCGAGGCCTTTTTTTTTGCTCAAGTGTCTTGCGGTTGTCGGCTCAAGACCCCCCCTTTCCTTTTCGCCTTTTGATCTATATCACGAGAAACGACTTTTTGAGACAAGGCCGGTAAACCGGAGGGGGGTAACACACAATTCGGGAAAATAAAAATAAAAAAAGCGCCAAGAAGAATCTGACACACATCAGGCAAAATTCCCGTTCTCTCCCCCCCCCCTCCCTCCCGTTGAAACAAACGCCGCCCCAGCCCAGGCCAAGTCAGTCATGAGCGTGTCGCCAAAGACGAGACGCCGCGGCAGCCACACCTCTGCGCGGCGCGAGGAGGCCCAACAAGAGACGACTCCTCTCCTCTCCTCCGGCCCATTATCCTCCTCCTCCTCCTCCTCCGCCAATAATGTCGTCGCCACCTCGGCCTCTCACGGCAGCGGGCCGGCGCCGCCTCCGCCGTTGTCGTCGTCTCTGCCGCCTCC